GTGCAGAGGGATCAGGTTTAGATGGAGAGCTGTCGTCGGTTTTCGGCGGGATACCATTGGGTGCAGAGGGATCAGGTTTTAAGACAGTGCCATCATTTGACTTTCCGCCGCCAGGTGGCGTACTAATTCCTGGCGGAGTAGGGGTTTTCATTGGAGGACTGCCGACTGGTGGCGCACTTGGCGGAATGCCTTCATTTGGTGGTTTTGGCGAAGCTTCTTGAGGTTTAATTTTAGCTGCATCTGCTTTTGAAACATCTTCAGGATTCTCCTTAGCGACATCCGCTTTAACAGCTTCTTCAGCCTTAGCCTCAGCGGCATTCGCCTTACCAGCCTCTTGAGTCTTAGCTTTAGCCGTTACCGCTTTAGCAGCTTCTTGAGCCTTAGCTTTAGCGGCATCCGATTTAGCAGCTTCTTGAGCCTTAGCTCTAGCTGCTTCTTCTGTCGCCTTAATAAATTCTCTATCTTCTTCGGTAAGTTCACCAAATATATCGGTAATTAGATTGTGCAGTTCTCGATCAAATTGATTTTTATTGCCTGTGGCAGGAGCTGCTGCACAAGGACGTCCAACATAGTTTATAATAAATCTGCAATAAAATAAAAACTTAATTATCCTAAAATAATTTAAAAAAGTGTTACATTAATTCCCATTTCTTAATATTCATTTAAGAAAATATATTTCTATGGACCTTTACATACGACCCACAACACAACGCGCAAAACTCTCTTCGAGAGACATTTCCATTAAACATTATAAAGAAGCTTGAATAAAATGTCTATCGTGAGTCTTTGATCAAAATACTTCCACATTATATCGAAAAACCGCCTAGAAGTAAGCCTGCCGTGTCTTGAAACCAAGAGCAGCATTATTCTTCAACAAACACAAGTACTTAGGTTTTCATATTTGTTTTCATGAAATGTTATCCATTTTTGATTTAAGTTGTGTATGTGTATGTTTGTTGTGTATTTTTATCAATTTGAATTTTTCAGTTTTCCATTTGTATAACATTGAAAGTATGCAATAAAGTGTAGACATGCTTGATCACGGCATATTTGTTCTAATCTCTATACGTCTGCCGATCTACTAGCTTCACTTGTACGAAAATGCATTTTGGTTAACACCAGATCCATTACATGAGAGGGCTACAATTTAGAATTGATAGCAGATATGTAAAGCCATCAGAGTTTCAGAGATTGATGCGAGACGTTCACACACAGTATGGACTCAAGGTTGTCAAAGTTGTGTTTCAATTAAAAACATTGCTTTTTTAATTGGGAAAACATTCTTCAAAAGTCCATATTGGCTCGGAAAGGGCTATGTTAATCGTATAACATCAACTTGGCGATGATTTGCTGATTTTAAAGGAAGGACCATCCAAAAAATGTGCTTACACTGGGAAGTTAGAAAATCACAGAAAATCCTGCAAATCGGGCAAGGCGTCAAGGGATAGCAAACAAACATATTCACTCACTGCTTTTGCATAAAAATTGGATATATGATGTAGGCTAGATAGATAAAGCGTTTGCTCGCAATAGAACAAATGTACTGTACCTCAAGTCAATCACTACAATGAAAAAATTGTGCTTGAAATATTACCTCGCTCGCTGCACATCTCTTCTTTACCGTGACCCCCAGCGCTTGTAAAAGTTTCTCCAGCGGAAAAAAAAAGTTGTACGAAATGATGATCTGAATGAATCATTGCGGCGGCTTGTTAATTAAAACAGGCATCGAAAAATTCGCAATGCATTGACTTGATTGCATCGTTCTTAAATTAGATTATGTTTTGTGGGGTTACATATAAATTCCATAATTGGTGAAGAAAACAATTTTCCTATTCAAGAATATTGTGCAAAAAATGTCGGAAATTTTTGAATAACCTTCTTTCTTACAGTCGAGTGAAACGAACGAACGCATAGACAATTATGTTTATGAATTAAAATTCCAAGAATTTTACAAATCACATTTGCACATATATCTGAAATGTCTTAATAAATTTTTGCCATTTTATTTAAATAATTGAAGGCACATACTTTGAGAACAATTCACGGTAAATACATATATTATACAAACATACAAACATATATATATATATATATACATACATACATTAATTCTCTATTAATATTTGAGAAAAGAGAAACAAATTTGCCGAAAGGAAAAGAAATATCAATATATTTACTCAACATATTATGTATACAGTTTTTGTCATTTGAATATTGTTGTGTGCGCTTTAACGTTTCACGATTTCTTTGATAAGACGCCAAAAAATTAATGCCAAAATATACTTAATGGATACTCTATATGTAGTGGTTTCTACTTAGCTACATTATAGTTATGTCTTCGAAAAAATTATAACTGTATATATATATATATATATATAGGTAGCTGGGACGCTGACCTATTTTCATTTGCTTGTGTCGAGGTTACGTCGCGGTACTTGTCTTTTGCACAAAAACTTTTGCTCTCTTTTCTCTTTTACTTTTAGCTACGAAACTCTTGAAAGTACGTTAGCTCCGATTATAAAAATCTTGCAAAACAAAATCGTATCAACCTATGTAATTTTTGATCATATCAGACGGGACCAAAATAGTATGAATGAGTTTTTTCTTTTTTAGCGTATTATTTATATCTGCCTAATTTCTTACTTACATTAGGAGGACATTTAGTCGCTCGTCTCGTGATCATATCTGATATGATTGGTGCGCGTTGATAAGTAGGAATCGGCAGATAATGTTCAAAAAGAACGGTAGTCTTAAAATTCAATTGAGATAATGAATATTGTCCGTACAACGTTAATGTCAGGCGCAGACAACATAACAACAACAATAATAGTTATTATGCACATTCTGTAAAATTTGTTACCGGAGGATATGTGCTCATCAAGCGTAGGAATATACGTTCTCATTGCATACATATTTCTGATGAAGGTGAATAGCGGCGGAATGTCTTTAATCAGATCTTCCTTTATCTTTCTCTCTCTCTCTCTCTCTCTCTCTCTCTCTCCGTCTTCTCTATCTCGATCTCTAATGGTTCAAAACTCTGAATAATTATTACTTAAAACAAAAAAAACATAATTAAAATCATTACATATATGTCTCTCTCCATGATTAGCAACAAGTGATACATTTCTGTTTTTTAAATAACGATTTCAAAGGTTTTGCATAGAAAGTTATATTTGAAAACCCAGTAAATGAACTCGAGAGATTGATTCATTTACACGCCCCCTAACAGTATTTTTCTCCCAAAGGATGTGAAATTCATGTAGACTTACACCATTTCTTAGTTAACTTCTCTGCGATAAAATATGGAATTCCTTTAATTTAAAAAAAAAAAGATAAGTAGAAGAATAAATATATCGAATGTAAATAAAGAAAATTGATTTTGCTTTAATAAAAAAATTTAAAAATTTATTATTTGTTTTTTTTTTTTTACCTAAATATTTTTGTGTATATTTTTTTGTGAAATTACTTTTTTTCTCAAACGTTCCATACTTTTTCTTTTCTCCTTCACATACTTGCTTATTACCATTCGCACGATTGTTGTTATACATAAAATGAAAGCTTGGCATTATTTTTATATAGTCATAGAGAATTAAAATAACGCTATAAATTTCTTTTCATTACGGCCAGCCAGCCAGGAGATGTTCCCCTCTATACGCACGGGCACGGTGGTGATTGCGAAAGGTTGTAGGAAGAGAGAGAGGTGAAGGAAACGTTCGTCTTGAAAATGTATAGCTATCAGGGAAAGATTGGTAGGTAGGAAAGGATCGTAGGTTATTCCTCGGCGATCGAGGGTATTGAGAATTTTGAACGCACTCTTCTTGTCCATAAGTATGTGAGGCTTTCGTTGCATGCCTTTGTTACTGCGAATTCTGTATAGTGTGCAGCGAAAACACCTCCACTAATGTATCTTGGCTTTGTTCTCCACATACACAGATCCCTATTAACATCCATATTATTTATTTAATTGACGATTTGTTGTTAGAGATTCTTTTTGTTTTTTTTTTTTACATTTTGAACCGACTTTGTACGATTTTGTAATGGTAGCCTTTTATCCGTACACATATATTTTGTGAATTCCGGTTTTATTTGCATAGACGCATGAATATATTTTATATAACAGTCTCCTCCCTTAAGCATGCATGAATGATTTTTCAAATTTTTTTATTGGTTATGCGTCTGCAGTCTGGCGTTTATTGCACACCGGGTTGCAAACGGGGCGTATAATAATATTTATGTTATAAATAGAAGTAATAAAAAAACTCATACGCCGCCAATTCTTGAAAATGACTAAAAAACACAAATCGGGAGAATACTTGAAAGAATATTAAGCTTTTACAAGCTTTCATAAAATTCTAGAAAACCTTAATGAAAACTTGGACACTTTTCCCAAGCCCAAGTCAATTGTTTCAATTTCTTGATGTTCGATCGTCATATTCGTCCTATATTTATTCCAATTGGTTTTAGTTATTCCATCTATCATTATTATAGCTATCACCAAGGGATGAGAGCTGACGTCGAAACGTTTACAACGTCCAGAAGTAAGCATCAGAGACGCTATGAAGTATACATGTGATAAGCATCAAATCGATTTAACCATGTCCGTCTCTCCGTTTTTTTGTCTGTCCATCTGACCGTCTGTCCGTTTGTGCAATACCGATTGTAAACTGTCTCCTTAGCCGCAAAAATGAAGTTATCGACTTCAAATATGACAGAAACATTGGAAGGTCTTGCACGCAAGTTGGTATTGAAATGGCGCCAAATCGGTTGAAGGACAATTTAATTGTTTTTTCAATACCTTTATATCGCTTCAAAAACCCTATAAAATGAATAAATTCTTAGCCAGTTTCAAATTTGGAATGCACCTAAACATGTTTGCCTATTCGTCTGTCCATCTGTCTGTAGTATTTGTGATAAACATTCTCCTGCTAGCGAATATGAAGATACCGCCTACAAATTTGCAAAAAAATTTGAAGTTGACCCCAACTTTTCAAAACGAATACGCCTATCTATTATGTCTACATTTCTTCGATACGACAAAAACTTTTATTTTGAAAATAGAAGAAATCAGCTGCGCGCCCACTCCATATAATAGAGCATGAAAATTTTGTTCTTTCGTCTTTTTTTTTGGGTATAAACGGCGAAGAGTATAAAAAATTCGGTCCCCACCGAATGTAATTTTCTTACTTGTTAAATCTTAGATTAGAACTGTTTCGGAAAATGTATTACTAAAATTTACGCTCCAACAATTTACAAATGGTAGCATCAACTGACGCATCAACTAAGCAAGCAACTTAAATGCTTTATCTCGAGCATTTGATTTCAATAAATTGACAGAAAGGTCGCCAAACCTAGGAAAGTTCCAATCGATGCATAATTAATAAAAAATCCTTTCAATCTATTGCAAGATATATATTTCTGCTGCTCCCCACGGCGCATATTTCTTCATAGCTTGAAGGATCTCCGAGGTGCATTTCTGCGCATCATTTGAAGTGTTTAAGTTTCAAGTGTTTTAAGAAAAAAGCGCAACATTGTGTGTAAAGGAAATTTGCTTTGGATCTTTCTTAGAATAGAATTACAAAGCCATCCACACATCCTTGTCTAAAGCGTTTGTTTGTCGAATGACGTTTCAGATTTGCAAAAAAAAAAAAAAAAAAAAAAAAAAACAGAAAACAAAAAAAACAAATAAAACAGTAAAAATAAGTGAAATTTCTTTGTAATACTCATTAGACGCAATACCATTACATTATTGTTGAACACGTTCTCAAAATACAAATAAAAAAAGTAAATAAATTATTTGCCTCTCGGCGCGTCTTGAAGGCATTCCCACCGCTCCCTCTACCCCTTCGTTACCCTCGAAAAAGATTATCAAAATCGCAAATCGTTTGTTAACTCTTTAGGCGAATAATATCAAGTATTTAAAGGGCCCCGATGACGGAATTGAACCTTGACTGCACACAAATATTTATATATATATATATAGTAGATAGGTATAAAAATATTTTTCGCCTTTTTTTTCGCAAGAGATCCATCAATGCATGGATCGCACGGATAGAGAGTAGAGAACGAGTCGCATGTGTCTAAGAAAGTCGGGGTTTTATGTTTTTCCGTCTTTGTGTGTCTTTGACAATCACAAACGGAATGAGCAAATCAATACATTTGCTTCTGGCAGTGATGGATATAAAAAAACCAATATTTAGATAAAAAACAGTCAATAATAAATTTGCCAAAAAAATTTGCCGACGCGAAGTGAAAGGAAAAAGGAAAGATTTCAAACAATGGAAACTAAACAAGAGCGATGTAAACGTGAATAATGTGTATAATGTGGGGACGGCCGCTGAAGGCATTTGTGACATGTCGCCGGTATAAAGTTTTTGGCAGAAAATCATGATCATGGGCAAAGGAGAGATAGAGAATATACGAATCTAGTGAATATGTGGGCATACACGGTCCCCAGTATAAAATAATACGTATGAAAGTTTAAATGACTTCTGGGTTTATTTATAAGAAATTAAGCAAAAAACATTTCTTCTGTTCATTTTAATTTTTGGCTTTTGTAATTTTTATACCTTTTTCCCGTTAATTAAAAATAAATTTTACAATTTGATGGCAGACGAATGTGTTTAAACCACGCGAGAGATCACTCTTGTTGACGTACGCGCCCATAACATAATTGTGAACATAGAAGCAAGAAAAAAAAATTGAAAAAAAAAAAAAACACTCAAAAGTTATTAAGTGAAGACAAGTTGAAAAGATATTTTGAAAAAAATTTTTATGAGTTTTTTTTTTTGCATTTTCTCCTCTTTGGGGTGAGAAAATTTCGACTAAACACACACCCAAAAGAAAAAAAACGAAAAAAATCCAACTAAAGACATTTGTGTAAGACTTTCCCAGTGAGTTGAAGAGAGTTCGATCAAAGTGTTGTCAGTTAAGAGAAAGAGAAGAGAATTAAAAATTATGGTTGAGATTTAAAAAAAAAAAAAAAAGATGATAATTATATTCCCAATAATGTATAAAGAACGAAACTAAATATATAAAAGAAAGGAAATAATCGTCGATTGTGCTCGCGATCAATTTCATCCAATTATCGATCTTTCGACTTTGATTAAGACTGTTGCGGCAATTTTAATGCCGAGGATCCTGCATTCTATTGAGAATAACGTCACCGCAACCGATGACGATAATCCGTTAGTAACGCGTATACGTATCGATCATTTAAATCCAATTGCAGGAAATGATTCACACGACACATCAATCCACTTATCTACATGTCAAAAATTAAATGACATCAATGATGAACATTTGAAATTTCCGGTAAATCATACGATCATAACTAAGAACTATAGCGGGCAGATAAGCTGCTCAGATATTGTAAAGCAACTCAAAGAAAGATTAGCACAACTCTTAAAACTTTATTCAATTTTGACGATTACAACAATAGGGAGGAAATTGAAATATTGAAAAAGTTCCCATTTAGAAGTCTCCCTAATCGTAATCGATGGGTAACATATTCCCGGGCGAAGGAAAATTGGAAAAAACTGCTCCTATTAAGATACCGAAATCGCCGAAAGCACTTCCATTAGATGAAAATGAACGGGACGAAGAAAAAAAGTTTCCTATCAGGGAATATCAAAATAAAAATAAATTTCCACTTCATAATACAAACAACATGCAAAGTTATAGAGAAGAGGCGGGGGCATTTCATTCGATGGCGAATTCTGCCCACACGCAATCAATAATCTATGGACCGTCGCAACAAGAAAATTTATTATTGGAATTTACGATCTCAAAAGCTTTTCCATGTAAACAAAATACTTTGCCAAGCATTGATAAATATCCCATAAGAGATAATGCGTACCACTCCTCCTCCCTCCCGATAGTGAATGCTAAGAAGAATGTAAAACGTAGCGGCCGTAAACATTTAAAACCCACGCATTCGTTGCCAGCGAACAAGTGGAAAATTCGAAAGAGTGTTTCTTTGATGCCTACGCCACAAATGACGCATAACTATAATGAATTGATGGCTCAAGTTCAAAACGCACAAGATCATGTAGAAAATTCCCAAACATTGGCATCATCATCATCATCAGCGTCGAATCAATCTTGCGGGAGAGTAATAGAGGACAATGTTGGTATACGAATGGTACCAGCTGGCATATCTAAAAATACGAGCCAGAAACCAGAAGTGCAGAAAAATTTTGAAAATATTGAGCGTACTGGCGATGACGTTTACGGCTACGCAGATAGAGAAAGAAAGCTGTCGCTCTCTGCTAGAAATATGAATCGCATGAATAATGAATCGCTTGTAGATAGGAAAGAAGAACAGCGTACAACACCCCCGTTGAGTGTAACAAGTGTTTGTTATGGCAAGAGTAACACAAATGAGTTACTCGATGATCTTGACGGAGTCTATAACGATCCGGTAGTTTTGGTTAGCTCAGATGTACGCGATACTTGCACATTAGCGGTCGAGAACGGAACAAATCGAAACGAATTCGGTCAACGCAATACGGGAAGTGCTCTATCTATTATTTATGAAACACCAACGTTTATCTCGTCCGAGTATGGTGGCAGTATTAGTGTTACGTCACAGGTGCATTGTAGAAAAAATGATGAATTATTAACATGCAGTGATAATGTTTTAAATTTGAAAGTAAACGAAAAAGAAAAACATGAGATCGCTTTCGAAAATCTCTTCAAAGAACAAATTAACACAAACGAAGTGCTTGTAAATCGTTCCAAAGAAAAGGAAGAACATTGCGTCGCCGAGAATATCAATAAACTCGCTAAGTACGATTCGCACAGATCAGATGAAATGAAGTATGAGATGAAAGGTGCTAAAGGAGCTTTACCGAATAACGCACGGGTGCCAATCGGTAAACCAATCGAAAGTGCAGCAATCACCGCGGAATTGCGTGCCTTATCTTCAAGCGCGCAAAGAAGTTCGGTTGGTGGCAATATATCGGTTGACTTACCACGCTTTCCTACTAACGCTACCCGCAATGAATTATTAAATGACAACACTTTGCAGAATCGCTCGTTATCGTTGAATAATGCTTTGGACAGTGTACTGCCAGAGAAGACCCGTTTAAGACGGCAGCGTCGTTTGAAAAACGATGATGAACCTCCTGAAGATCCCATCGAACGTTTGAATCGTTTAAAAGCTCGCATTTCTGGCGCTCTTAGTGAAGTGAAAGGTGTCCTAAAGCAATATAGCAACGATAGCGAAGAGGAACAGAAGACTGACCCTCAAAGCCTAAAGCCTTCCATTATTTTGGGCACACCGCCAGAATCTAAAAGCGAAGGTCCAGTACATTTTCGTTTCGTTAAAAAGATTCGACGTCGCAGTCTTTTCCTTGACGAAGAAACTGATTCAAGTAAAGAGGAAGTAACAGATGTGAATAATATTCAAGCAGCAAAACCAATTAGATATGAAACAGAAGAAGTTCCTTCAAATAAAAGTGAAACCACAACACTGCCCATGGGAATACAAAAAGATAATAAAGATGATAGAATAACAATGAGCTACACACATGAAAACTTAAAATCTTGTTCATTGAGAGGAAATGATCATTCGAGCGTGATATCGGAACCAATTGACCTCAATAAGGAATTATCTAAAGTCCAGAATTCAAATACCATTTACAAGGAACTCGAAGATGTTCCCAAAACGGTTGAAATAAACTTGGACAGTAATAGTTATTCGAAGAAAGTGGACGAGAGTCAGGCGTTCATCGGTAAAGATTACCAAACCGAGCATAAATTCCATAAAGAAAGCGAAAGATTTGATTTTAATTCCGCATCTAAAGGTGAACGCACACTAACGTCGGCAAACCTGTGCACTAACGCATTAGCTATTCCAACTATAAATTCGAATTTAACGGTAAAAGAAACTGCTAGCACTAAGATAGCTAACCCGCCCTACCAAGGTTCCTTTGAAGAATTTCCAAAAAGCATTCAAGCCTCCTATAATGCGCCGACAAACGTCACCGATGACATTAAAGAAAATAATCAATCGTGTAACGAAGGCAATCAACTGTCACTTGTTAACTCTCAGTGTACGGAGAAGGAATTAAATGCAGAAGTTTCAAGAGGAGATCGAAATAAAATGAATGATATAGGGAAAGCAGATAAAAGTCAAAAACTTGAAGACTTTAGTAATCGTGCATCAGGATCGATAAAAGCTTCTGAAAAAGAGCAAATCAGTCATTCTCTCTACACTCTGAAAGAAGAGGACCGAGATTCTGTTAAATGCATCAACGAAGATGTCTGCAAAGCACAAAAGCCGCAGGAGGAATCAATTGATGGTAAGAGTAGAGTGAGAAAAAAATTGGTAAATAAGCAAAAAGAAGGCGGACGGCGTGCTTCAATAGCGGCCGTTGAAAGCTCTAAAATAGACTCACCGTTAGCTATCGCTTTACCAGGAAAAATCAAACGTAGGCCATCGGATTCAGCGGCTGTTATTAAAAAGAAAATAGTTCCAAGTAAGATGACAATATCCGATACTGGTGAGGAAGTTGCGAACAAATCGAAAGTTATCAAAGTTAAACGGGTAAGTGCGACCTCAAAGAGATGTAATGAAAAGGGTGAACAACCAGTCACGCATCAAACAATTACAACTGACGAAGCTATACACAATACACAAATTGACATAAATAATGCCAAGAAAATCAACGATGAGAATCATTCGTTGCCAAATGATAATACGGCTACGGTTATAGAACGATCACCATTGAATGAAGTGATAACAAATGAGGTGAAAACATTGCCAACGCAATTAGAAATTGAACGGCGCACGGCGTCATTGAGTCCATTATCAGCTAAAGAAAAGCTAGAAGCGACAAATGCAGCGACAACAGCAACAACCACAACGTCTAGAGCAACAAACGATTCGCCCGATATGCTGGCTACTGTGCCAGAAATTACTAGGGCCATGAAGAGTTCAATACAAACAAGAGAATCGACTAATACAGTAACGACAAATTTTCATGATTTATTGATAAGTGAAAGTACGGTTATTATAACGAGCAAAAAAGATGAGGATATCGCGGGGAGATTACAGACCGGTAAGACGACTGATGAAATCAACGATGATCATCAAGAAATTTATGCGGAGAAACCGCAGGAAATTTCAAATAAATTGACTCAGCAATCTAAGCAATCCGAACAGGTGGTTGTTGCCATCAATAAGAACGCCAACAATGACGTCATAACATCGGCAAATGTAACTCAACGTCAGCTACCCAAAACGAATGTTGCTTTTATTGAGAAAAAAATAACTTCGTGTACGGAGGAGGAGATTCATGAACAACAGCAACAACAGCAACAACAACAACAACAACAACAACAATTTACGACAACAACCGATATTACAAAAACCATTGAATGTCCACAAATTTCCAACAGTCGACAAGAGATCACACAACAAGATACTACAAGTCAAGAAGGAGAAGAAACAACAGCAAAAGCCGAAGCAGCAGCAGCAGCAGCAGCAAAAGAATTAACTAAAGATTCAAAAATGCCCGAACAACAATTGGCTCCCACACCGGTGCAGACAGCCGAAATTCAAGTCGAGCCTGCCGACCACAAGAAGAAAGTTATACATAAAAAAATAATACATCAAGTATCTTCCCCCTCCTCGTCCTCCTCCTCCTCATCATCAGATAAAATCAGCATCAATAAAACAAACGAAGGAGATTTAAACAAAAACGATGCAGAAGCTATTACGAGCTCAGCAGAATTCCCAGCCGATGAAATTAGTGTTGAAATGAAAAATGAGCCTTTCGCTGAAGAAGATCATGGCGACCAAAATTTAGAAAATAACGAGGAATTACAATCGCTAGCTGCTGATACAGCTGAGACGCGTAAAAAGGAACGCAAAATTAAAAAGAAAGTTATTATTAAACGTCAGCAACGTCGTCTTTCCGTAACCGATTCATTTTTTCAACGGCCTAATAATAACGAACAAATTGCTTCAGCCGAAACTGAAACGTTGGAAAAACCTATTGCTTTTGTTACAGACGACGAAGATGACGACGATGATAAGATAGAAGAAGCGCAAATTGTAGAGGAACCAAAACCATTGAAGTCCTGCATGAAGGTCAAAGCCTACGAAATAGGCGATGAGGTTTTATACGCCGAACGTTACAAGAAAACGCAAATCAAATGGAGGCGCGGCAAAGTCAAGGAGCGCATTACTAGCATATCGTATCTGATTGATATCGAAGGTAAAGACGTCTCGTCGCATGTTAATTATTTAAAAAGATACACAAATCGTAAAGTGAAATTTGGTGGTAAAGAGTATCTAGAAATAGATTACGAGCAACTCGCCGAGGAGGAAGAGAGAGCTGAAAATCTACGTAAACGTACTTTCAGTATATGGAATATGGTATAAACGGTTAGTCATTGCTAATGCCGAAAACGATACGTTCTCGCCTACCCTATATCACACAGCTGGCTTCAGGCAAGTGTTTTTCTTTTATTCGTTTGTCTTCTTAGTATTTTCAAAGGGAGAAATTCCTTAGTGAAAAAGTGTAAATAAGGATACGCGTTTTATTACTTTTATTTTTTCCTTGTTTTTCCTTGTTTTTTTTTTCTCTTTTTTCGAGTTTAGTTAAAAAAATTTCTAAGGCGCCTAGAAAATTTTTTAATGATCTCAATGGATGAATGGATGAACGGATGAATGTGTGTGTGTGTGTGTGTGTGTGTGTGTGTGTGTGTACGTGAATGTTTGATTCTTTATCTTATTATTATTAAATTTTTAGTATGAAAAATAATTGTTATAAATAATGTAAATAAATAGAAAAAAACACATATATATATATATATCCAAAACAAAGATGTAGGATAAGCGCGCAAATGAGAGAAAAAAATTATTCAAAACTTTCTTATTCATAAATCTTCTTCTTCTTCTTCTTCTTTTTTTAAAGCAAAAAAAAAAAGAAAAGAAAGCAAAAAGCACTCAACGCAAAGCTCAAGTTGAGAAGAACATTTTTTAATTTGCTTTTCAAAATTGTACAGACACGTACAGGCATAATATATGTATAATGGAAATAGACACATCATGGTGTCTGAGATCATCATATGTTTGTATGTCATTCATTAAAAATGATAGTGGATGAAGGAAGTAGTACAAAAAATTTGATATACCTATATCTCTATTTGTATGTGTTAATTAGTCTCATAGTCACTGGAAAATTTGGCCGTTGACACAAATATCCTTAACATGTTCAAATGTACTGAATATTTATGTATTTAATTTCCGATTTATTTAAAGCTTGAGTATATACGGTATATTTAGTTGAAGAATAAAAAATAATAATATTTTATATATATATATATATATATATATATATATACGCATATTTATATGTTCTTAAAATTTCATTTCAATTTTTTTTTCGATTTTATTTTTATTTTTTTTTTGCTTTTTTCATTTATAACTCTTAGTTCAACTTCTTAAGCTTTGTTTATGTTAGAGAAACCAATGTAAATATTAGCCTCTTACATACTTCGTAAGCGTAAGTGTAAATATCAAAGAAAAAATAAATTCGTTTAAATATTTTATTAATAAAAACAAAAAAAAAATTATTGTTTTCATTTGGTTTAATTAACAAAAAAGAAAAAAAAAGTAAGTAAATCTTAAAAAATCACCGATTTTTATAACTAGCTAACTATTCCACAGAACATTTGCGAAATAATTTCGATGAAGAGTTTTGGTACGTGAAAAATACGTGGTAAGAGGAGGGGGCGTGCAATTATTATTTACTATATTACTATTACTTACGACCTTTCTGTCGACTCGAGAGAGTAAATGAAACGAAGAAAATTTTCGATAAGCAACACATTTATTATGCCCCGCATACGGAAGACGCATATTATATTTGCTAAATGTTTACAAGACCTAGAAATTTAAGCAACGAACACCCTACGAGATGTAAAGTGCAAGAAAACAGCAATTCGTTTCAGTTATGTCTATGGGTGTTGAAATTACGTTTACATGACGTCTTTCAATTTTGTCTAGAAGAGTGAACCACCACTGAACTATCACGAAAATTCTTCGATTCGCTCACATTCACACTTATGAAAATAGTCTACATATATATCGTATACAGGGCAAGTGGGGTATGCAGATTGAACGGAAAGTAACCCATTTCCATCCAATTCAAATAAATCGAATTCTCTTTTTACACGAATCGTTTCGTTTTAACACGATTTTCAAGAATTTTTCTGATAAATTTCTATTTTGATGTTTCTATGGACTTTTTTCATTCTCACTCCTCATACATATGCATTGTAAGATCGTGTTAAATGTTTAACAATTCATTTAGATTATATCGATTATATGCGAATGTGATTCTTAATTGAATTCTAATAAGAATTTTTTAATATTGTTTATTGTATTTTGCAGTTGTTTTTTTTTTGGATTTGGAACCAATCTACGATTTTTCAAATTAAACAATACTTTTTTTACACGAATTTTTTTTTTTGGAAACGTAGCTATCGTATAAAAAGAGAATTAGCTGTACGTGACAGCACATACAGAGAGTATATAGAGAACCTTCCAATATCGAAAAAGGTGTATCCTTGTATGGAAAATAAGCAAAAATTCTTCTTGATTAAACTTTTAATTCGCTATCCTTACAACTGAAGATACTTAGGAAACATAAGGCGAACATTCTTTCTTATTATTCATTCTTTTCCCGACTGTAATGGGTGCTTTCTTTCTCGTTTCTAAAACTTAGGAATTCCTTTCAATTATCGAAAAAATTCATATATCTCTCGCGCTCTAGACTTTTAAAAAGTTACGCCCAGTAGGGGGTATAGTGAGTGTCACTTTTATTGCTTTTTGAATTTTATGAATGAATTTTTTTTCTTAATCATCATTATATATATATATATACACTATTATATATAAATGAAAGATTATGCTTATAACTTATAGTGACTTATGGTGACTTATAAATATGTACCTTTTGTTAAGCATTGCATACGCATACATACATACATATATCTAGTGTATGTGAAAATAGTATTTTTATACTAAGGTCATTACGGAATAAAGATAAACTAATTTCACTAAGCTTTTTGAAACAGCGCAAAAAAGTTTTTCAGTTTCCTTTTCAGTCTGTTACTGCACAAGCAAAATAAAGCAAGAAATTATCAAAGAACACATCAGCCTATTAAGCTGTCCAGTGTAATAATGGTTTCTTCGCTAGATGTTATGGAGAAAATTTCGAAAAGGATCGAATAGTACCGAAAGTCCAAATATTGTAGCTTGATGGCGTAGAACTCACGAAAAATTAATCGATCTGATCTTTTTCCCTCACTACATGTGAAAGATAACAAATTAAGCTTGAGAACGCGCTAGAAACCAAAAATCCTAGATATATATACATGTATATATTGAGTGCCCTAGATTCATCTTAAGCCGTACATAGTTTTCTCGCTATTTATTTATAAAACGAAAAATGTGAATTCTGTTTTTTCCGTTTGTCATTACAATACATATTTTATTATTATTATTTTTTTTTTTTGTGAATGATTTCGTCTGCGGTGCTTCATAAAGCTATCATTAAAATATTTTCGTTTTTTTTAAATAACATTTTCAAAAGGTTGTTTAAGTTCAGGCGCAAGGATAATTCATTCGTAATAATTTAAAAGTAATAAGAGAGATTGGAAAAAGAAGGTCTACACATAACACTGTTTTTGCATAAGAGATATATTTTGTCCGATTTAATCAAAAAATTCCACTATTCATCGGGTCAAACCTATACCAGTCATTTTCAGAAGAATTCTGTCTGCCTATTATCAAGAGAATAAATAGATGGAGGCTCTATAAGTATGTTGTGTTATTCTATTGAAAGAGCAGTAGTCTGTTTTTTTTAACTTTTGATATTGATACGAAATTGGAAGATTAGTAGCTCTTGCCTGCCGACAAATTATTTTCTATTTATGCATATAATGCATGCATTACGTTTAATGAGGGATGGAGGTTAGTTAGAAGAATATGTACACGTATTTTTTATATATCATACAACACTACAACACAACATATGAGTTACATATTAAATATTAAAAATAAATTTAAAAGATTTATGTTATTTCTTTGTTTTGCCACATGTTGCTGTATTCACAATACATATTAAAGGAGAGGATGAATTTTTGGCATATGCAAAAAACAAAAAAAAAAAAAAAAATAAATAAATAAATAAATAAATAAATAAAAATAAAATTAATAAACAATAATGAAAACAATTATTTCGCACCATATTTAAAAGTTATTTTGAAAAATATTTTCATAAGCTACACATATGCACACAACCATCATATAATATAACTCTCTTACATATATGTCATGATTGCTCTAATTTTCCATAAAAACAAACAAATAAAAAAAAAAAAATAAATCTATCCTTCAATATATCTATTCACACTTTTTATTTTAATGTTTATTTAATTTAGTTGTTATTATTAAAATGAATGTCGTGCTATTTGCAGCGAACATTTTTTTTTCTTTTCTCTCTTTTTTTCTTTTTTAAATTAACCGAAACTGTGCCAAGTTCTTGTTAAACGAACGCGAGAAAAGAAAAGACTGCAAAAGAAAGAAACAAAAAAAAAAAAAAAAAAAAAAACAATAAAAACACGATAAAAACACATAAAAAGCGTGTGTTTAATGTTTAAGTATGCGTAAATAATTTGTTGCGCACTTGAATGTCAAGTAAAAGTAAAAGACAACCGAGAATATCTATGCGCGAAATAAGAAGAAAAGCAATTATTGTCGCGTTATAGTGAATCTTGGATATCCCTTTTATCGCGAGTTCAAGTTGTTTCTTCTTTTTTTTTCGAAGGAAATTGAAATTTTTTTGGAAAATTTTTAAAAAAACTAATACTGTGTTTCTAAAGTTCCTGGCAACTGATTCTTGATTTGAAAATTAATCCATTAATAACTATCTTTCGTGAGGAAGTCGTTATTCGTGTTCGTAGTCTGCTTTACAATTTCACCCGTATTCACCCGTGACTACAGCAGTAAAAACCAGTCTTTCTTAGAAAGAAACTGATCGTCATAAATAAAATGACATATCTTGTCTTTCCTCCTCGCCTACAAAAACAACGACACTTCTCTTGCACGACTTATTTCCCCATGAAATTGCAAAAAAAAAAAAATAATTATCTAATTTTATGGTTAGCGTTTTATATGTATATATATATATATCTATCTATTCTCAAATTTCCTTGAATTACATAGTTACGCTTCCTAGTAAATTAATTTTAAAGGAGAGAAAAAAAAAAAACAAAAGTCATCGTGCATTGTATTATTAATGCTATCTGCGGCCTTTTTTTTTTTTTTTTTTTAAATAAATATCAACATTTTCTTGTTTGTATATTTTTGTAAACAAATAAAATAATATTATCAAACGTGTTCGTAGTAGCAAACGCAAAGAGTTTTAAAATCTACTGCAATATGCTTAGCTCACACTTCCAGTACTCGTTGTTTTTTTCTCGTTCATCTTCCCATCAACATAAGATGAAATAATGTGAACTATTAAGCCAAGCAAAGCGGTAATATACCAGTCATGGAAAGCAAAGCGAAATCATTCGCTATCAAAAATTTCAATAGACGGGGACCTATCAGTCTTTTCACTGCAATTTGTAAAAATAACATCTCAGTATATCCGATTATGTCCAGGAACTATCATTAAATTGAGCTAAGTACTTAGAATTGTTTACTTGCGCATGCATCTGAAGATGAACTGAATGCTTAAAGATTGAAAAAAAATGCAAACACATTGTCAAAACTGCCCTTAAGACGAGATAAAAAGCTTAAATGCCCATTAAAGCAGTTACATCGGCTTTCATCGGCTTTGATTGTATTTATGCTTTATCGCGTATTTACTTTCATTACACTTGTGGTAGTAACAATATTTATTATAATCTTTACAGTAAAATGCTTTTGACAATAACACATACACGGACTTGAAGTAGACCTTATTTCGAAATCTTGCATAAATATTCATAAGAATCGTAAGGACGAAATGTACAGTTAGAGAAGAAATCAAATTTGCTTAACTACTATATATACATGATCATAAGGCATGTTTGCATCTTATACCCTCACACGAAAAACAATCAATTTCTTGCGAGCTCTATATACAAGTATTTTTTTACCATTCATGAATTGAGAAATTGAAATGTATGACATTACAGTGGACGCCTTCACTTTTGATCAGGAATCACTGTAAACTATTACTCAAAGTCAATTAGCTTAGCTGCCTTAGGCTTTATAGGTGTCTATGATAATTGTTCCTCTATTCATTTAGACAAACGTTGTTATATAAAATTAAATTATAACGAAAGTAATGTTCATTGAGAATTTCACGGCGACAACTTATAATCATATAATTTGACTTGTTCGAGAAAGGCAAAACACATCGAATTTTTATTTGCTTTACCAAACACTATTTCTAGAAAATTTTTTTTTTTTTTTTTTATAAAAACAGACAAAATCAATAAACGAAGACAAGTAATTGTGACATTTGGCACGCTTTTTGCGCTTCCACACACAAAATATATACACGTACACGTACACACATACACATACACACAACTTTTGCGCGTTTGTATTGTATTAAAGCGAATAACGAATCGTTACGATAGATAGAGAAGGACACGTAAATATTGATTTGTAGTTTTGTAGTGAAAGAAAAATTAGCCATTAAGACGAGGAAGAAGAAGAATACAAAAAAAAAAAAAAAAATGGTAAACCGTGAGGTAATACTATGTTCTTATTTATTTTATTTTCTCTCACATCTCATTAAATGTTAAAAACCATACCATAACTATCTGTCTGCATTATTTATCTTTCAATTGATATATTACACATACTACCTACTATCTATCTATAAATGAAAAGCTAACAAAACGGTGCACATATCATCAAATAGTATGTCGTTATCGATGATTATCATTTATTGGCATTTCATTCAATTGCATGAGAGCACGCATTCATCAAAGTCAATTATTGTGAAATGTTACATATATATATATATATATCTATATATATATATATATATATCTGAATTGGTATCATACAGTTGGTAACAATGAAATGATTCTTTATCTACGACATTCCTTTTCAGTTCGGTCATTGAGAATCTAGGAATTTCGTAAATCGCCTCAAGGTTAATGTCAATTTTTTCTATTCTATTCATTTTCTACGCTTCTTGTTTTATTTTATTTAATTATTTTTCTTTCGTCTTTTTTTGGTCAATGGATTTGACATTGAACTCTTCTTGCTTGATTAACAATTTTGTTTCATTTGAGAGAAAACCAAAACACTTCCTGTACTTTCTACATCTATTCAATCATAGAAAACAAAGACGCCTTTTTGCCCATCAGGCTATCCCGGCCTTTTTAATTTGATAATTATGCCCACAAAGTCCTAACCGTTTTATTGTTTACTCCTCCTTACGAGTCGCAAACAATCTCAAACCCTTACCCATAGCTGGCTGGCAATTTCAGACAGGTATGACTCTTACTCGTACTCGTCTTTAAGGGAGGACGAGAGAACGTTAAATGTTTATGACGAGAAGAAGAAGAATGCAGCAATTAATATACATGCAATACATTGTTTGATAATTGATTATTATGCAGGTGTAATAATACGACTAGAAATCCCAATGTTAGTCTCCAATCTATTGCAAAAATCGAAATTAGTATAGAAACGCGCTCATCCTTTATATTTTTTTCCCATTCTTCGTAACTATTAAATAGTTATTGCTGCTACACTAGACTACTCACTTACTCTAAGATTAAGATCATTTCATCTAATTCTCATAAAAAAAAAAATTTTTTTTTTCCTTCAAGTAAAAGATTATTAAGACGGGATGGGAAGATGGGAGACATTTCATAAAGTATAGTTACAACTCACCCCTCATCATAATCTGGTGTCATAGCTGTTTTAAATCGTGGGTGCACATAATACCAAGCACCTTGATTTTTGTGCTCCTCTTGTGCCCATATCAATTCGGATTCTCTATAGAACAAAATTTGTTCTCTAACCAAATCGTAAGGGAATGGACATATCTTCAATAGTAAAAAGAAATTACATAAAGTAAGATCAATTCAATGATTTGAATGCATAAAACTCTGCACCGACCTGTTCAACGCGTACAAGTGCTACTTTACATTCCTGTCGTCTCTCGGCACGTGCTTTAAACAAATCAAAGTAAACTTTTCCTGAGCAGAAAACCAATTTACAAACATCATCAGGGCTTTGACTAGCAGGCCCATAGTCCGGTATGATACGTTGAAATTCGGTACCCTCTATCATGTCACAGAAATTGCTACGAGCCAACGGATGACGTAAACCTGTCTTGGGCGTTAGTAATACCAAAGGTTTACGAAATGGTAAAGCCACTTGACGACGCATTATATGAAACCAATTGGCCGGTGTAGTACAATTGGCAACAATCCAATTAATCGTTCGTAATTGCCTCAGAGGTACATTATCGTCGTCACAATCTACTTCAGGTAAAGTGTCTGGATCATCGTCGGACATTTGAAGAAAACGTTCGACACGGCCTGATGAATGTTCCGGTCCTTGACCTTCCAGGCCGTGCGGCATCATTATTACTAAACCTGATTGACGAACCCATTTCATTTCGCCGGATGATATAAACGCATCGACTATGGACTGAGCGGTATTGTAAAAGTCGCCAAATTGCGATTCCCATATAACTAGAGCATTCGGATTTGTCATCGAGTATCCATGCTCAAAGCCCAAAATTCCCATTTCGCTCAAACTGCTGTTACAAACTGAATAGATCGCCTGATCAGGATATAAACACTTCATGGCACAGTAAGTGACCTTATCGAGAGTCTGATGATGCAAAACATGATGGCGGTGCGAAAAAGTGCCACGTTCAACGTCTTCACCTGAGAGACGTACGTGCACGCCTTCCCTTAAAAGGCTCCCCATTGCCAAAGCTTCTCCTAAAGCCCAATCGGCTGTACGATCGTCCACCAATTGTTTACGAGCAGCCAAAATACGTTCAATACCTCTGAAAATTGGACAATTGGTCGAGATCTTTGATTTATGTGTAAAATAAAAAAACACTACTTATGTAATATAAAATTTTGTTCAGGTGGCGGCGGTGATGAAAACTTATAACCGATGTGACACAAGATTTTCTCATCTACACCGGTGCATGGCACTTTTGAGTTATCACGAGATTGAAAGAAGCCAGTCCACGGCGAATCTAACCAATCACTGTACTGTAAAAAGAATTTAGGGATTAATTTTTTAGTTTCATTATCAGAAATTTAGAATTTACTTTAATTGTTGTAATCTTTTTGGCATCTTCGAAACCTTGCTCCAATATCGCATCGTACTCATCAATAGATTGCTTAAGCAATTCCTTTGTGATCACCTTTTCATCAAGCAATTTTTCGCAATACAAGTCGAAGACCGGCTTGTGTGCACGTATTTTCGTGTACATCAGCGGCTGCGTAAACATAGGCTCATCAGCTTCATTGTGACCGTTGCGACGATAGCCTACTAAATCGAGGACAACATCCTGTCGCCATGCGGCTCTCCATTCAGCACAAATTTTGCTAAGATGTACCGACGCTTCGGGATCGTCAGCGTTTACATGAAATATGGGAGCATTCACAACACGAGCGACATCCGTGCAATTTGGTGACGAGCGTGAGAAACGAGGATCGGTTGTGAAACCAATTTGATTATTAATCACAATATGGACGATGCCATGAACGGTATAACTGGGCAAATCGGACAAATGCATTGATTCGTAAACAATACCTTGTCCGGAGAAGGATGCATCGCCATGTATGAGGATGCACATAGCCTTACGGCCTTCAAGATCACCGCGATAGAATTGCTCTGAACGTGCCTTACCCTGAGCGACCGGATTAACAGATTCCAAATGCGATGGATTAGCGACCAAGCACAAGCGCACATTCTTATTAGTAACTCTATTCAAACGTTCAGTAAAAGTGCCCAAATGATATTTAACATCGCCGGAACCCTAAAACCCAGTTTTTTATTGTTATTTTAGTTAGGACCTAAATAATGTTCTGGTTTTTTAAAGTCCATCATTTAAATACTTACCAGATCTTGAGCATCTAGGCTATGAAATTGTGCTAAAATTTGGTCCAATGGCTTACGACAGACATTGGCCAAGGTATTCAACCGGCCCCTATGAGCCAAGCCAATTACAAAAGACTCTACACCTAAATTCGATGATACATCAATGATTTCCTTAAGGCACGGTATCATTACATCGCATCCTTCCAAGCCGAAACGCTTTTCAGCAGCCCACTTCCTCGCTAAAAACGCTTCAAATCTATATTCATGGTAAAAGAAGGAATTAAAAAATAAAAAACAAAAACCTCTTCATAATGCATGGCAGAAAAAAAAGGTGCTCATGTATTACCGTGTCGCTCGTAACAAGCGCTTGAAAATTAATAATTTTTTCTCTTTACTTATTTCCATGCAACCTGGTTTTTCAAGCCGTTGTCGAATCCAATCACGTTTCCCATCACTGTAAATGTACATATACTCGATGCCCATAGTGCCGCAGTAAATTTTTTCCAGGCGTTTCAAAATTTCTCTGTAAATGAAGCCAAATAACGATGCAGATAAGATGTCAGGCGAATCAAAAATTGACAATTATCCGTAATCTTACCGTAGGGTAAGCTCTTGCTCTTTACCACCAATGTAAGTAGTTGCGGGCAGTTTAAAACTACAGTCCATATATTTTCCATCTAAAAAAGTAAAGCGAAGGACATGATATGATTGTCGATTTTTCATATATTCAAATACTGGCCTTTAACAAAATTGCTGACCATCATTAAAACGGCTTCAGTGGCCCTTAATTCCATACCACAGGGTGTGGTAATTTTTTTGGACTGAGTAATACCCAAAGGGTCCAAATCTGCGGTTAAAAAACCACGCGTCTAGAAAAACCAATTCATTGCTCTTTATAATGTCGTTCCAATGTTGAGGAGGGTTTGCCTCAAAAACTAACTCACTTGATAGCTACGAATCACGCTTTGAGTATTTAGATGGCCTTCGATAATTTCCGATCGGGGATTGTGGCCGCACAAATGAGATAACGGTACCAAATTACGTTGCGAAGTATGTTCGGGAGGTACACATTCATAAGCACCGGAAACGAAAAAAGCATTCCAAGACTTGGGAAAAGAGAAAAAAAAAAGAAAAAATGTTGTGCGTGGTGTAGTTTGTGTTAAATTTACATTTAAATCTTACGGCATGAACGCTACCGGGATCACGCTTCCACGCATTATACATATCCTCCACATAAGTTGCACTATTACCACTACCCACAGATACTTCGGCTGGTTTTGCGGCGCTACCTCCTTTACCTCCGTTATTATTAGATTCGAAGCGCCTCTGCTTTCTTGGCAGCTCATTTGAAGTTAAATCCTAATCCAATTATTGTGAAACAAAAATTGATTTTCAAATCACTATGAGAAACTTTTTTAATTTTGAAATTACCCATCTCTCTGAACCTGGAATATTCAGGAAGCTTGTCCAGAATTTTCGTTTCCCCAAAGGTTGTAATATTGTGTTGTACGTGGGAATCTTCAATTTAAGCATCTTAAGCGATTTACTCAAAAAAAGTTGCGAAATTAGTTTTGAAACTTTTTGGGAAAATCTCTTTTTTAATAAAATTAGCTGCACTAAAACGCTAAATGGTACACAAGAAATTTTACAATACAATTAATTCGAAGTCAAATAATGAGTTTTCAAAAGAAAGCAAAAAAAAAAAAAGAAAGTTTTTTATTTTAATTTCCGAAAAAAAGGATAGCTTTTTCTGATGTGATTAAAATAACAAATAATTTCTTTTATTAAATATCAAAATGAAAATTAAATGAAAAGAAAAGCATTTTGAGATCTGAAACTCAGTGCTCACTCTTTTTTTTAGTTGAAAAAAAAAAACTTTAATAAAAATCAGAATTTTGTACCTCTTAAGATGCAGGGGACGACGACGAGACTTTGGCGGCTAAATCCATTCGGAATCGAATACAAAGATTTAAAACTTATATGCATAGCGATATAATTGCGGTCGTAGAGTTAAATCCTTAGATATCTGCTTGTAGCATCCTTTGCACAGTGTTTTTTTTTTCCTTAACCCTTAAATGCATGTTGTTGCCAATTGTTTTTTTAAGTAAATTTTTTTAAAAACATCATTTGGAATGTAGAATATTAACCGCAATATGCATTTAAGGGATAAGAATTTAAAAATTCGGTCGGAAACGAATCTTTATACCCATCACAGCTTGCACCAAAAATATACAAAGAAAGTAAAAGAAGAAAATTCTTATGCTTTATAATCTGAAGTGGCCAAAGCTGATTTCTTCTATTTTCAAAATAAAAGTTTCTCTTGTATAGGCGTTGTAGGCGTGCCCTTTGAAAAGTTCTGGCCAATTTCAAATTCTTTTGCAAATTTGTAAGCGATATCTTCATTTTCGCTAACGGCAGAATGTTTACCATGGATACTACACAGATGCAGAGACGAGCAGATCGATGTACATGTTTAGGTGCATTCCAAATTTAAAACTGTCCAAAAATGTAAATGTTTCATGGGGTTTTTGAAGCTTATTGTCTGCGCATTATAAAGGTATTGAAAAGACAACTAAAGCTTGATACACTACAATATTGGGTAGGCGTGGTGAATGTTTTCCGTTTTTGTGCACAAATACTTTATGAGTAATATGTCAAAAACCAATTTTTCATTCGCTTTGAAGAACGGAGATCTTCTCAGTTTACGTTGTGCTGTGGGCGTGTCTTTCGAATGATTTGGCCCATTTTCAATAGCAATCTGGGTGTAAGAAATTTCCCAATTTTGACTACCAAATTTGAAGTCGACAGCTTCATTTTTACGGGCAGGAGAACGTTTACAACAGACATTAGACAGACGGACAAACGGACATACTTAGATCTATTTAGAATTTAATGCTGATCAAAAATATTTGCACTTTATGGTGCCTCCGATGCTCTCTTCTGGGCGTTGCAAAAGTTTTCACAAAATGAATTTATCACTCATCCTTCGGTGATGGGTATAAAAGAAGAAAGGAATTGCTTTCGTTCATAATTTACAACAAGCATATAAGGAATACGTACTTCAAATTTGTTATTAATTTCTACCAGAGCTATGTAGAAATTAAACAATTTATCTATAAACAAAAAGCAACGAATAAAGTCTTTTTAGTAATATTAAATATTGTTGATATACCCAAGGGGGGATCATATGTCGCTATTATGTTAGTACTTGAAAAAGCAAAAATTTGCTTAACTGGCATCAAAAATGGTGGTCAAAATAACGAGAAGACTATAATTAGAGATGAAGAACGTACGCTCGAAATTACATATGGCACAATTTCTCACTAGTTGAGGGATTTTCTGTTTGCTTTAGCAAATCTCTAGTAAAACAAGGTGTTTTTTTCACATCGCTCATAGACCAAAATCGATAGAGCGATAAATATTTTCACATATATTCTATGTACATATATAGAGAGTATATACAGTCCCATCTATCCATCCTTCATTACACCAACAGAATGGCTGAGAATGACTTCTAAAGCCACTTCATAGTCCATTTGTTATGCCACCTAACACTACTTGTCCTGTAAGGCTGCATATAGGCTATACAAAGTTGGTGGCGATGTACATACGCGCAATACTCAAAATAACTTGAGATATATCAATCCTTTATGACACCAACAGAATGATTGACAATGACTTTTTGAATAGATTTAGGCCATTTTATATTTACAATCATTTATTATACCACTTTACACCACTTGTACTATAAAGGCTTCTTAAGTTTATACGGATGTATACCCATCATCCAGAAGAACATATATGCCGCTTATATGTGAACTTGTCTGCCCATTTTGTATTTTAGGCTGCAAGTTTTCAACATAATTGTTACGGAAATCGCAAATCCTGTTTATTCCAGCTAAGTAATGAAACCCCGAAAGAGGGAAAAACTAATTGCACATTCGCAGCGCGTCATACAGCTACCGGCCGAAGAAAAGGAGTACTAGAAAAGCAGGTTAACGAATTAAATATGAAACTATAATATATAACTATAGTAATATGATGGTAAAAATATATATAAATAGAATATTTGTGCAGGGGATAGTGAGTAGAAAAAGAATTTTTGAGTTAAGCAGTCGAAAGTGTTTCCAAAAAAAAAAAAAAAAAAAAAATTGTAAATAATCCCACAAGTTGAAGAAATATAATTGTAAATAAAAGAACTTTCAAGTGTATCTCTCTTGACCAAAACATTCACGATCTAGTGGTACGAATCTTATAATAGAAAAGCGGAAAGTTGTAACAATATTTTAATGAAATTTAATATCCCAAACGAGTTTTTGCCCAAGGATGAACGCTATTGAAAATGATTTGTTTCGAAGCAATTTTTTTGACCCCTTTTCATATCACGATTTATTTTGAAAAGTCTTTTTATGAATAACTGCATTAAGCGAAGTGATGTGTAGGGCATTTAGTGTTGCGCCGTCATTCAAATTTCTCATTTTTATTAAAAGCCATTCATTTAGCTTCGTATTAGGCGAATAGACGCAGAGACTCTAATCGCGACACTTGCTTGGATAATAGAATATAAATTCTTTGGAATCTCGTTTCAATTGTTCGCGAAAGCCTTCATTTACATTTACATTATTATCCATTTTCGAGTAAAAGAATGTTGTCGGACCTCATAGATTATTATGATAGAAGAAAATTGAAAAAAATGAAACACAGTTTGGTTTGTTACTTTTATTCTTTTTAAACATTTAAATTTTGTATAATTTTATTTATCCATTTTCAATATTGCGATACTGTTTAGTAAAATATGTTAGGATTTAGCGCGTATTCGCATATTTGCCCTGTGTATTAATTATAAGTTTTTGATAATTTATTTGTGCATTTCGTTCAGAGACTAAATAAATGAAGTCTTTTTTTACATTTGCTACCACTATCGTAACTAAATAATCGCTTATATTCAATGTAAAGTTGTTTCGTAACATTCAGTTATGTTATGATAAATTTTCTTTAGATATTTTGTAAATTTTAAAGCCATTTTACTCTAATAATTAACTATACCATGAAGTATACTTTTATTCACTTATTCAATCTACTTTCAATATACGAATAAAAAATTAAAAAAAAATAATTTTTTTAAAAAGACAAAAATTGTAAAAAATTTTCCTTTTATGATATCTTTCTGTGTAAAAAAGCAAAAAAAAAATTATTAGGAATTCAACTATTGACGGATATTAAATTTCAAGTATCACTTGGTTGAAACGAATGAAATATGAAAGGGTTCTCTTCTTTTTTTCTTTTGTTTTTTTTTTTTTTGTTTTTTTTTTTTTTTTTAATATTATCACATGAATTATTTTTCATTTCATAATGTATTGTGAAAGGAAATCAAAAGTCATTCTCATTTCTCGCAAAAGACATTAAATCCTTTGAACTTTCATAGGTAATATAAAAAGAAAATATAAATAAGAAAAAAAGAGAGAAAAAAAAAAATGAAGACAAAAAAGGAAAACGTGAGGCACACAGTATATTAAGGGTATTGACAAGTATTCAAGTGTACTTGAGCAGATTTGCGATTTTATACGATCGGAATACTTTTTTTAAGTTGTTTAATAAAATCCAATTAGAACAACTTATGGGCGTTTTAAACTCGATTGATTTTGACCATCAATTGGATGCCAAATCTTTAGATGACTTTAAGCGTTCCCGCTAAATTCCTACAGGAGTATTTTAAAAGCTGTTTTTATTACCTCGTCCGCCTTAGGCCTGCCATTAATTATAGTCTGTAAAACTTTTACCAAGAGTATATATATGTTTATTTCAGTTCGAACGGACGGATCAACCCACAATGTCTCTAGAAATTGTTCAACTCATATGATTAGACCTTTCGCGTCACATGTGAAGTGGAAAACGTAAATAGGCAGCTAATTTCATTACGAGAGGAGGAGGTTTTGGAGCAGATTTTAACATCGATTATCCATATAGATGCACTCTTAGGCTATTTAGGATATCTTGATTGATTAAAGAACAATTTGTAGTTGTATATGGCTATGTACTCTGTCCCTAAATGATTCCAGCAGACAAATTCATCATCATCATCATCATCATCATCATCATCATCCATCATCATCATCATTAATTTAACTTAAAGTTAATTCCGATGCAATTTAATGTTTTCTTATAAAAATATTTCATATTGTAAATAATATAAATGAAAAAAAACTAATAAGTGTTTGTACAGAGGCAATTTTATTTTCGATTTACAATATGCTTTAACAAGTCTGCTCAGCAGCTTACCTATTAATTTCCTGTCATGATCGAATTACTTATTTATATTTAAAAAAAATAAAAAAATAAAAAAAAAATGAACTTTTTTTCTTTTGTTTTTTAATACATTGTTGTTTTGTTAAAATACATAATCTAAAGAGAGAAAAACCAAATTTATTATTTATATTGATTTTGTTTAACTATTTTTCATTTATTTTTCGTTTCTTCTTTTTTAAAATTATAATTTATTATAATTAAAAATAAATAATTAAAATTAGAAAAAATAAAAATTGTATTTTATGTGAATTGTTTTGAATTCGTTATTTGCTCTTGTTTTCGTTATTTGCTAATATTTTTCATTCATTCTCGTTCACGTTGTGTTAAAACTCTCTACATATATTTCATATATATATATATATATATATATTTTCTTTAAATTATCTAAAATAAAATAGTAATAATAATAGAATCTTAACGATTGATTTTAAATTAAGTAATAATAGTAATTTGTTATTGTTCCTGTTGCTGTTGTCATTGGGGTTTTGACAACACGTACATAAAAAAGCAAAAATCAATAATTAATAAAAGTCCAGAGAAAACCGAAGTGAAGAAAACTAGTTATTTATATATATATATGTGTATAACTTGTGAAAGAAAGTTTACAAGACATAAAGGATACAAAAATAAAAATAAAAAATAAAAATAAATAAATAAATAAAAAAAAAAAATATATATAAAAATAAAAAATAAACCTTTTTTTTGTCTAACGCTCTCTCTCTCTCACTCTATACGGAGTTGTTGTTCCTGCGAAATGATCACTACAGTCAGTTTATTATAGCGGTATAGATATGAGTGTTCGACTTGAACACTTCGAAAATCGTTTTATACCAAATTTACAGTTTCATGGCATCAGTCAGGAAGGCGTTCAATTCACGTATATGCTGAGCCTTTGAACCGGTAGCAGTCGAAGCACCGCATGGACGACCAATGTAGCTATTTAAAGTGAAAGAGCATAAAGAAATTTTCAATTTTTTTTTTTTTTGATTTTAAATATATTCTTTCTATATTCTTGTATAAAAGTTAAAAAAAAAAAAAATTAAAATTAAAATGAAAATAACAAAGCAAACAATTTGAAACGTTTAAATGAAAATTGATAGTAATAACGATGAAAGTCTTCTTTACAAGAAAAAAAGAAAAGCAAAAACAAAAATGAAATGATATTTTAACTATCCAATTACAGTGAGCAAAAAAAAAAACATGAAGTCCGAAATTTATAACGATTGATGAGTGAAATGTTAACGAATTCCAAGTGCATTTATAAGACTGTGTCGTCGTCTAAATTTATATACAAAGGACAAAGATGATGAAAATAGTTGAAAATTGAAAGAAAAGCAAGATATTTGGTGTTATATTAAGTCAACTATACGAGAAGAAGATAATGCTAGGCCTTTGATGAGATCAGAAGATGGTACATATATAAATTGAATAAAACCAGATGAAACTGTTCACATTCCAACAGACAGACTTCATTTGAAGAATCTCTCGATTATTATAGATTTACTGCAACAATTGCTGAGTATTTTAATATTTCGACTTATAACCGACGCCATAATTAGCACACTAAAAAGATTCAATTTTTTTATTTTATAATGGAAAATTTGACGCAGATATGAACTATAAGAAATTTGGGGGCTATGTAGGTCCATTTTTAATCTTAAGCCCCCCGAGTTGCGAGTTGTCGCCAAAAGTCGATGCAAGTCGAATTTTTAATACTTTATGACAGAAATAGGTGAAGAATAATAATATATCAGATGAGAAAATTCATTTTTTGCTAAATTTTAACCAAGAGGTTAACTTTACAAGCAGCACACAACACAAGCAGCTTTTATGGAGAATATGTTTTCATATGGAAATAAGGAGTGATTTTTACTTTATACAGCTATTTTGCCTACGAAATACACGAAGAATTGTAGTATTGTAGTGGACGTGATAGATTTGGTGGTTGGCATTTAATGGTCGATCTTGTCTAATTGTAATGTTTACACTTTGATGTACTCGGAATACGAATTAGTTCGGTTCGGTTCGTTTTGTGAGGGAGGGAGAGTAAAACTTGAATAAAACGATTTTTTCTTTGTCCTAAAGATTATAAGCAATTGTACAAATTATCACCTTAAAGCGTTCTTGAAGTTTTCAATAAGAGTAGCTCTGTTGCATGAAAAAAAAAATAGACGCGATTTGCGTAAAAGTAAAAGATAGTGTTGTTAAGCTCTCACGCGTGATGAACGAACGATATATGTGCTACGACATCTTTGGTGATGTATTATGTTTTGTTCGAACCCAAATGAATCCCAATGGATCACTAAGAAACGCTACCAATAATAATTGATGCAATCGCGACAAGAAATGATCACGGTATGCGTGAAAAGACATAACAATATTGTGAGTTTTTAGTACGAGGGAAGTCAGGTCCTTATAGCAAAACTAGTACAGTAAATGGTTTACAGTTAATTTGCTGGAATGTCTTAGCTTCCTTGCTTCCAGACATTCCTATTTTCGTTTGACATGCGTTTCAATAGATTATTTACAGTTTACTCGAACGATACCCAAATGTAGATTCTTTTAGCGATAGCCTCACAAAAAAATAGAAGTTTTCTCGCGATAGAATTTAAAAATTGTTCGAAAAGGTAGGAACAACGTAGCAGTAGTACTAGTAGTAGAAATAGCCAGCGATGGACAATATTTTGGTTAAACTGTTCATTAATTTCCATTCGAAATAAATGCATTTTTGATCATCAGAAAACGGATAGAACTAATTTCTAGTCGTCGTCTCTGCTATAGGATTCAGTTTTGAAAACGGATATATTTTGCCAAAAATCAATTTAGATAAGGAAGAACAGTCAGTCGAAGACAAATAAGTGAACAAAGTTCCCTGCTAAAATTCCGAAAAGTGAAAGTATTGGGCAAATTGTAGTACAGCGATAAGTGCGAGAATGAGAAAATGTAGTCATTCTTCCTACGTTTAATAATTTAGTGATTTAGGAAAAAATTACGATTTTGGAGAAAATAGTTTATTTATATTAAAATAAATTTTAAAATGGACTCACGAAGATGGCTGTCTTCATTCTCTTCCATAAGTCACAACGAATGGTGTGAGGAGAGAGAGAATAACATAAACTAAATCAGTTCTCTCTCTCTCCATCTCTCTCTCTCAATGAACAGTTATGAGTCGATTTAGCTATATCCGCCGATTAACCTACGACTATCATTCATGTTCTCAGACACTTTGGATTTTGTGCAATGACTTTATCATAAATTGCTCGCTTAAATGCTCGGTTAGCCAAAAGACATCCCGCAATCAATAAATTGGAGTCGTCGTCTGCATGGTACAGAAACATTATGATATATGTGAGAGAATTTAGAGCAATTCGAAATTATTTATAATGTAATAGTATTGTTCGCTATTATGGATTTTTCAAACGTCCAAGCAGATGGGATAAGTCCCAAGACTATATTATTAACTTTTACAATTCGTAATCTTAGAAGTAATTGGAATAAAAATGCCATAAAAATGTGACAACAGTCCTCTGAATAAGATTTTGCAAGTATTCGAAATCTTTACGAAATATAACGATGGTAGATGATGGATGCTATCCTTCTCAGGTTGATTTCATCAAATTATTTTTAAAGCATTCCTTTACGGATGAACACATCGAGCTACGAGCAACAGTTTTACATTTGGAGATAAATTAATCAGAAATGCACTGATGATTGAAGTCGTCGTTTTCGTTCCCACTTATTAGAGTCAATTATATTTTTTTGAGGAATCGAAATAAATTTCGGCTGAGATCGTACATTTGTATCCATTAATAGTGATAAATAAATAAACCTTTAGAATTTGAAGCGAAATTCTGTCTGTCCATTACTTTGCTTTCCCCATTTTAATTTATGTTGGAAATTTTAGAATTCAGAATAAAATGCCAAAAAAGCTAATCTTCTCGCACTAAGGCACGAATTTTTGAAGAGCGTATTCATATTCTTTGTAAAATTTGATTTAAGTAAATTAATTTTTAATTGTTTCGCAAAATAAGTTGTAAAAAAAATAGGCATATATTTTTATTTAAGGACAAAATATTGAAGGAGGCGGTGGGAGGGAGAGAGAATGAAAGAAAGAAAGAGAAAGAGAGAGAGAATAAGAAACATTACACACTCATATATAAGAACACATAATCATAAACGCACATTATATGATGAAACCACATTAAACAATGGACATACAAGCATGCACATGCATTTCATGAACATGTAGTTTAACAATTAACCTAAGAATATAGACGAAGTGAACACAAATCTCATATAGAAGCAAAAAAATAATAATAACAATAATAATAACTTATGAATATAAAACTTTAAAACACATCTGCTAAACACAAAGAAATAGAAAAAAAAAAAAAAAAAAAAATCGAAAATCGTTTCTTCAAAACAACAGAATAGTGAACTGCAAATAAATGTTTTCAATGTAAGGAAGAAAGTTGTTCGAATACAAAATTTACGAAATGATATTTTTAAAAGACAATTGTTTGCTGTCAAGTTGACACGAACAACTTTTTTAATATTATAGTACTACGATGAATCAAAAAAACAACATGAATTAACGAAACATCATCGTACTAAAATATTATTTACTCTGCTTTGTACTAATATTTTGCACAGTTCACTTTTAATTGCGTAATTGTTTGTAGTTTAAAAAACAAAAAAAAAAAAAAAAAAAAAGTTGTTAACAAATTTCGTTACCAAGATATAAGTACAATTTATACTAAAATTTAATGGGTGTATACGTATATGTGTGGAGAAAAAGCCGACCTCACCTAATTTTGCGTCCAGTTTTTGAAATACGCACACCGGGTGCCGCCGCATTACCAGAGGGCCTATTGAAATCATGATGTACGTTCTTAAGATCGAAATGTTTGGTAGCACAAAAAGCACCGGTCTGCTGCTGTTGTTGCTGAGTGCCACCGTATGTATTGGCCTTGTCAGCAGCAGCATCAGCAGTTTTGCTGGCAAACATACGACTTAACCAAGGTTTCGGTTTAATGTGGGATGATACAGTATCACTAGTATCGGAATCTTGGACATTAGTAGTGCTAGTGGTGGTGGTGGTAGTAGTAGTAGTCTTAGTAGTAGCAGAGGGAGAGGACGACACATCACTGAGGCTGTAACAATAATATACATACACAAGAAAAGAAAAGCGATATGGAAATTTGTCTGAATGATTTGATTCAATTTGCTTTGAGTTTTTTTTTTGTTTTTGTTTTTTTTTCACAAAAGTTTTTAATCTTTTTGTTATTGGTTTCATGTTGTGAAAGTATATTAAAGTGACGTGGACTACATTAACACAATTTACATTGGCTGTCAAACAAAACTGTTTTTTTTTTTTTTTTTATAATTTTTTTTTAAAAACAAAAAAAAAAAAAAAAAAAAAAAAAAACAACATCAAAGGAAAATTAATATACAATTTATTGGGTAAATTCAAAGGAGAGGTGTAAATAAATAAAAAAAGAAGGAAGCCATGCTTTAATTTAATTAATGTCGAATTTTATATTTTATAAGCCAATAAAGTAGAGATGGAAAATAAACATTTTTTTCCGTTTTTTTTTTTTTTTTTGGAAAGTAAGATTTCATTCAACTGGAATTATAATATCAAACAAGGACCCAGTGTAATTTATAAATAGTTTAACAGTTTATAAAAAATATCTGGCTTTAATCGTAAAGAAACTAGGTTCACCGATTTGTGCCCAACAATGTAAGAACGACTTTCACAACAACAATTTGGGGGACCACAAGTCTGGTCGTAAACTTTATGGCAACCTTATGTTTTTCTGGTCAACAAAAAAAACTCTTGATATTATTGTAAATTTCGTATACGCCGATTAAATAACTTTTCTATAACGAAGTACAGAAACGAATTTTCCACATTTAAAAACTCACATCAATAAGGCTTCATTCATTCATTCAGAACTTGTAAGTTGAAAATTAGAATTCGTAAATTCTATGTAGTAAGTAAACTTCATATTTATAAATAATATTAAATTCAAAAATGTAATGTTATGCAACTCAAACGATTAGTATCAATTTTTAATTATTTCCTTTGCATTAATTATAAGAAACTGCGTAGGGTGTGATATACCTATTAAATCTGCCGTATAGTCTAGAGCTTAGGATATCCGATGGTTGAGGTTCCTGGCGCGGTAATCGACCCATCAATCAATTCACAAGTTTTGTTTAAGACTTTTGAATTTTAATTCACATTTTTCATTTTCAATTTGCAAACGTTGGGCATGATCTGGAACTTTTGCAAGATATTTCGAACATCGACTACCGTGTACCTAGCGTGTAAAGGAAACAGATGACCGATCAAATGGGTAGAGGAGATAAAACAGCGCAAATTTTACGTTAATGGCTTTCTTGTTGTTCACCGGAAAAGCCACATCATTGAACAGTTAAATAAGTAAACAATATACTGGAGATATTATTAAACACTATATAGGAAATATCCTAATAGACGTAATTTTTGTAGCTTGAGCTACTAAGAGGAGTCTAAGTTCTATCATGTATCCTGGCTGTGCTAAAAATTTAATAAGAGTTCGAGAGTAAAATTAAAAGAATAAACATAACATTAAGTAGGAAAAGAGGACACCTACCCTAATGTCAGTCTATAATATTTGTAAGAATTTACAAATGTCTGAAAAAATGTACATTGAAGAATAAGTTATAATGGGAAAACACTTTTTGATCGTAAACTTTAAACTCTTTCACATGGTGTCGTGGAGAAAATGATATAATAATTATGAATGAATTGTTGGCAATTTTACATCTACAAATATAATGAAAATGATATATCTAGGGAAAAGTACGCTATTTTATAATATATAGAAAGATCATATGATAATTAAAAGAAAGAATGTGAAATGAAATTGCGAGTAGCAAAGCAAATGCTTTTTCCTTCTCCTCATATCAACTTTTAAGAGAAGTAGCAAAAAGTCCCAATGCAATGAGTGCTTTAAATATATATGTGTGTATATAAAAAAATTGTTGTGCTTTCACTACAATAAAGAAGAAGGAAGATTGATGAGCACTGCAAAAAGTGTTTGTTATCACTTAAAAAAAATGTTACGACTAAAATAATTCAATTAATCATAAATGAAGAAGAAGAGAACATGTGATTTTTGTTTTTTTTCGGAGCAACAAAAAAAAAAAAAAGAAATGAAACGAGAAATTAATAACTAATAGAACAAAGTAAACTTATCGTAAATCAGAGGAATTTCTTATCTACAAAGAAATTGTACTAAAATTTAAATCAAAAAATACTTATTAAGCACAACATATATAAAGAAGTTTTGATATCCTTAATATCAAAACGATAAACTTTTAAAACGCCTTCACATTTAAAGACCATAGCTTACGATATAGGACTTCTGAACTTACCCAACGTCTTTGCTGTGATTTAGAGCGGTTAAAAAGCGAGGTTGCACATAAGACCAACAACCTTGGTTTTTGTGTTCCTCTTGAACCCAAACGAATTCAGCATCTTTATATGTATTTGATTGCTCTTTGATTAAATCGAAGGGGAATGGAGAAATCTTAAAATATGGTCAAATAATATAATCAGGAAAACAATATCTCTTTGATAAGGTTCAATTTAAGTGAAGTATCTACCTGTTCCACGCGTACGATGGCGATTTCCTTTTCCAAATCCTTTTCTTTGCGTGTCTTAGCTATGTCATAGTATACGCGTCCAGAACAGAAAATAACTTTCTTAACGGAGCTGGGATTGTCGCCTGCTGGGCCCCTGTCTGGTATGATGCGTTGGAATTCACTGCCATCACTCATCTCGCTGAAGGGACTTTTGGCATCAGGATGACGCAATAAAGATTTTGGTGTAAAGAGAATCAAAGGCTTGCGGAACGGCAATGCGATTTGACGACGTAAAATATGGAACAAATTTGCCGGAGTAGTGCAATTAGCAACAATCCAATTAATGTCGTGCAACTGATGAATAGCGAATTCATCAGATTCGGGTGGGAAGTAATCGGGATCATCAGAGGACATTTGCAAGAAACGCTCAATACGTGCCGACGAATGTTCAGGGCCCATACCCTCCATTCCGTGAGGTAATAGCATCACCAAGCCAGATTGACGCACCCATTTAGCTTGACCGCTCGATATAAACTGATCGATAATACACTGAGCCGTATTGTGAAAATCACCGAACTGAGCTTCCCACAAAACCAAGGCATTGGGGTTAGTCATGGAGTAGCCATGTTCAAAACCCAATACTGCGTATTCGGACAAAGAGCTGTTTGAGACTGAATAGGGAGCCTGATCAGGGTATAAATGTTGTAAAGGATTGTAGGTAGCCTTGTCAACTAATTGATGGTGCAAGACATGATGACGATGAGAAAATGTGCCACGTTCTACATCTTGCCCGGAAAGACGTACATGTATTCCTTCCTTTAATAAAGAACCAAAGGCCATGGCTTCACCAAGCGCCCAATCAGCTACACGTTCGTCGACCATTGCCTTACGAGCAGCCAAAACACGTGTCAGACCCCTAAAAAATACAAACCGGAGTTACACTTTGTCAATTCGTCGGAAATTAGTAAAAGCTTACTTGTGTATAACGAATTCAGCGGCGTTTGGAGGAGGAGCTGAAAATCGGTTGCCAATGTGTATTAAGGTTTCTTCCTTAACACCAGTTGGCGATACTTTCAAGGGATCCTTGCCCTCAAAGAAACCAGACCAAGGCGAATCTAACCAATCTTTGTATTTAATATGAGTCTCCTTTTTGGCCAATTCCATGGCTTCGTCACAAATTTTTTCGTATTTTTCAGCTACTGACTTGATTTCTTCGGAGGTACAAGTACCTTCAGCAATCAATTTGTCAGCGTAGAGATCAAGACAATTCTTATGTTTTCTAATTTTTTGATACATAAGAGGTTGAGTAAACATTGGTTCATCAATTTCATTGTGGCCGTTACGACGATAGCCGACCAAATCAATAACGACATCCTTGTGGAAAGCAGAACGCCATTCAGCAGCGACTTTGCATACATGAATTACGGCTTCCGGATCGTCAGCGTTTACATGGAAAATAGGTGCATTGACAACACGAGCCACATCAGTGCAATAAGGCGAGGAACGCGAGAAACGAGGATCAGTAGTGAAACCAATTTGATTATTGGCCACGACGTGAATAGTACCATGAGTAGTATAATCAGGTAAATCAGATAAGTGCATTGTTTCATAGACAACACCTTGACCACAGAAAGCAGCATCACCGTGTATAAGAATAGACATTACCTTACGGCCTTCTTGATCACCACGATAAAATTGTTCCGCTCTAGTCTTTCCCTGCACGACTGGGTCAACAGCCTCTAAATGTGAGGGATTAGCAACCACAGCCAAGCGGATATTTTTGTTTGTGACACGATTTAAACGCTCAATATATGTGCCTAAATGATATTTTACATCACCGGAACCATCATCAGCTGCCTCCAAACCAGCAAATTGAGTAAAGATTTGGTGCAACGGTTTACGGCACACATTGGCCAAAGTATTTAAACGACCACGATGAGGCATACCCATAATAACAGATTCTACACCCAGATCGGTAGATATATCAATAATTTCTTTTAAGGCGGGAATTAACATTTCACAGCCTTCCAGGCCAAATCTTTTTTCCGATGAGAATTTTCTGGCCAAGAAACTTTCAAAACTAAATACAAAATAAAAATGAAATTTTCATTAAAATCTAATCTATAATTAATTAGTAATATATCAGAAAAATTTACCCAGTCGCACGGGTTAAACGCGCCAATATTAAACGTTTCCGTTCGGGTGTGAAATTCATAACGCCTGGTGTCTCGAAATGTTTACGTATCCAATTGCATTGTTCCAAAGAATTGATGAACATAAATTCAATACCAATTCTATTGCAATAAACGTTTTCCAAGCGATTTAAAATTTCTCTAATTAGAAAAAGATAAAAATTGATTCCAAATAATACCTTCAAGTTATAATATTAGTTAGATTGACTTTATACAATGGCCAAATACAAGTTTTGGTAATTATCTGATAAATCAGAGATTTAGGATAATTTACAGTTTATGTATGCTATGCTGTAAAGTATAATCACTAAAGCTGATTACAACAAAACTAACCTTAAAGGCAAAGCCGGTTCCTCACCACCAATGTAAGTAGTACTGGGCAATTTAAATTTACGATCCATATCTTGTTCACCTATTTAGAGTTTTTTTTTTTTTTTTGTGTTTATTTTTATATAAAAAAAAAAAAAAACAAAATATTAATTTATATTCAGATATATGATGAAAGGGTAAGGAATCTTGAAATTGAAGAATTTTGTGAATACAATTGAAATTCGGAGATTTTTTTTTTTTTTTTTTTTTACAAAACATGCTCTTTTTTTTTAAAATCAAGGCAGGCAAGAGATTTATATATAACTTATTTATATTATTGAAAAAAAAAAAAGAAAGAAAAATTAGGAAAAAAAAGTTAAACAACAAAACTTATTAGTTTCTAATAAAATAAAGAAATCTGCTTAAGTTTATTGAAACACTGAAATCAAGCATTAAAGTGAATATTTAAGAATCACTTGAAAAAGGCATAACAAGCGTTAATATCTTATTGTGTCTTCTAAGTTCAGACAAATTTTTTTTCTTTTTCAGTTTTTTCATTTATTCAAAATTTTGTAAATTTAAGCAAATTTCTCATTACTTTCAAAAATCTTAAATTAAAGATTATTACAAAAAAAAAAAAAAAGAAGCAAGCCTTAAAAACTACAACAAAAAAAGGAAGAAAATATTATGGAAAAAATTTACATGAAATTGAAAGCTAACAAAAGAATTGGGGACAAACAAGCAGAAGGACGCAATACTAAACAACATGACAAAAGATAAATTTTCTAGGATAACAATTAAAAGAGATAAGACAGAAACAGAAAACAGGACAGAATTTGGTGATGGAAAGTAAAGATATATACTATGATACTATCCAAAACAACAACAACAAGAACAACAACAAAATAACTTAACTTACTTACCAAAATTGAAACTAGCATAAACAGCCTTCGTTGTGCTGTTGCCGGGCAAATCGGGGGTACTAATTTCGAGGGGATCGAGGTGAGCAATGTTATGGCCTCGAATCTAGTTTTCGTTTTATTTAATTTGGTTTTTTTATATGTTTTGTTTTGTTTGTTTTGTTTTTAAATCAATCATTCAATCAATTCAGTTTTGGGGAAATAAATTAGATATTGAAAAATTTCATATGAGATCAGACCAAAGTTTTTCAAATAAAGTTTTTCGAGTGTTTCAATGTTGGGAGATATATGAGTAAGAATTTTATATATTCATTTTTTTTTTTTTTTTTTTTAAATTTATTTTTTTTGTATTTTTTTTTTTTTTTTTATCGTTCAAGTTCAAGTAGTGAGAATATGAGAAAAAAAAAGCATAGAACATAAAAAGAAGAAGAAAAAACAATAAAAGAAACAATTAAAGCATTTCGAATTAAAGTAAATATTAAAAAGCTATATATAAAAAAATTAAAAATTGATACTAAATGAAAACATAACGCAAGGAAACAAACAACACAACATATAAAATACATTTAAAAAGAAAAAAAACTACTTCAATACAATTAATTAAGTCATCTCAAAGAATAAGAATTCCTTTAAATCGGCACTTCTCACTATCAAGAAGATTCAATTCTTCTCATTAACTATTTATTTCGAGAGAAAGATACTACTTGCTTGGATTGGCGTATAATGGACTTTACACGTTTGGCCTCGTTTTTTATCTTAAATTGAAAAGGTCGAGAAACGCATGCAACAATCATTTCGTTTCATTTATAAATAGTTTACGTTATCGAAATTCCGAATCGGAGAAACTTTGCTCGTGTATATGCACGGCATCGTAACTTTACCTGTAATAGATTTGCTTCAAGCAGTCAGTGGCCATAGTAGCAATAAAAATGTGTCATAAGATAAATAAAATTTTATAATATTTCTATAAAGAGTGTAAAGAAAACTATATATATCTAACTTTCCATTGAATCCTTTAATGTCGGCAACAGCTGAATCAACTACATAGAAATTGCAGCTCTTTGCTTCACGATCACTTTCATATCTCAAATGATCAGTGTGATCGCTTTCATAACTCAAAGCTTTAGTTAGTTAATGTACTCGTCAAAGTTCAGATGGATGTCTGAATTGATAAAATATGCTATAGGATTTTCTGTGCTTTCTGAAATCAAAACATTTCAGTTTAGTTTTTCGACTATGTGAGTGAGCCAACTTTCAAGCTTACTGCATACTTTTTCTTTTCCTGTGGTACAGTTAAATCTGAGTCAAAAATACTGATCAACAATACATATTTATCCGTAGCATGCACAATCTTCGAAACCACAAGATAAAATGAATATTTCTCTTCCTTGTTTAAATGTGTTCAAATTTTTCTGAGCGGACTTGTTCACACACCTACAATTAACGAATAATTCTTCTTCGACTTCTTCTTCTTCCTTTTATCCTTCTTATGATCATGTTTTCTAAGATTATATATATTGTTAAGACAATTTTCACTGCCTAGTTTTGTACGTTATAAACATTTGACACAATGTGCTGGCTACATACATGCTACTCTGTCCAAAAATTAAGACCAATTTAATTTTTTCCTTTTTAAATCTATTTATTATTCCAAATCTATTTAACCGTTTTCGAAATAGTTTTCAAATTCAATTAATATTCCTTGCTAATTTGTGTGTTTCGCTCGGCGAAAGAAATTCATAGCGTACAAGACCACCCACTGAATCGCAGAGAACTGTTGCGACTACAGCGCGATATGTTCGGTCTTGACTCAACTGCAATTCAGCTGCACGAGCAAGCGTTCGCTCGATTAATCAGTTGTTTCAGAGCCGTGCCCGCAAGTCTATATCTCATCTCATCTCATTTCATTTGGCAAACAAAGTTCAATGCAACTTCTTTTTTATTCAACAAAATCATTGAATAAAAGCAGAAGAAATACTTTTTGCGTTGTATAAAACCAAGCGCAACTGAAACACTATTTACGTTTGATGTACGATGTGAAAGTTGCCAAAGATGTCTGGCAGAGTGCTACCAATTTAGAAAACAAACATTTTTGATATTCTGTTATCCATGCAATTTGACTTAAATATTGGTCTTATTTTTTGGCCACAGTATTATTTATATATATACATAAGAAAAAGAAAGACCAAACGGTATATATCAAAAAGTTCAATCTGAATCAGATAAATGAGAAATTTTTACAACTAAAAATGACTTCACAAAAGAGTGACCGATTTAATAAAGAATTTAATATTCTTGAATTATGCGTAAATAAATGAAGGTTATGGTATTAATATAAACACTGAGGAAAACACAAAAAGTGAGTGAAAAATAAATTAGTGAAGCATTGTACATGTAACTTAAATTTTTTAAACAATAGGAAACCAAAGAAAATATGTTAATTCTTTTTTGCGTTTTTTTTTTTTTTTTTTTTTGTTTAGCCAAACCCTCTACCAGTCTGTGTAGAACAACATTTATAAAGAACAATCTCCGGATAAGAATCATTTAATAATTATAATTTCAAAGCCTGCCAACATTTTCAATATATAATGAGATAGAAAAAAAAATATATATATAAAAAAATTGTATATATTATGATTTTATTTAAGGCTCCGAATTTCATTTTGTTGAAAAAATGCTTCTATATACAAAAAAAAAAAAAAAAAAAAAAATAAAATAAAATAAAAAATATAACGGGATTATAGGCCGAAAAATCGCTTTAGATATAGATTTTTTGATTTTAAACAAGAAAAGTGTTACAAGAAAAAAGAAAAACACAAAATTACCAAACAAAAAACCAGAATGCTGGCGTAAAACATCTTCGTTAGCACGACGTGTTAGACCGTCTTTGCCCACGGTCTTTTCAACAGTTAGAATTCCCAATGGATCCAATTCAGAAGCCAAATGACCGCGTGACTATATCGGTATATGTATATATATATATACATATATATATATAAATATATATATATATATATATATATACATGCATATATATATATATATAAATATATATTTATATTTATATATTATGTATAATTATGAATATTCGTATATATTTATAAAAAATGATTTATGAAAACTAAAAGAGGAGAGACAAGTTTAAGTCATAGATAAGAGTTATTTATATTAATTGATTCTATTGACTAATTAATACTTAACTTTTAGGAGATTGGATAGAACTAAAAATATTATATCGAATATTTGCTTAACAGAAAGTTTCTCTAGTAAGAAAAGCCAATTTGCGATAGTTATCTTAAACGCGCGTAATACTCTTTAAAGAATATACTCGAAGGAAAAGCAATATAGTCTATATTTGATTGACGCAGCGCTGCAATTTGACATTTTACATCATCATGCTAGGCCGTCATAAAAACCTTTACTAAAGTTAAATTTGGTGGGGGAAAAAACGCAAGAGGGACGGACGTACATTATTTGTATTTGGATTTTTAGAAAATTAAATTCTAATAAATGTTCTGCTCGGTTATCCAAAGATGAAATAGAATTCAGCACCATGTCTAACAGTCTTTTGAACTGATTCTCTGAAAGGCTTTAGCGCATGTCAATGCTTAACTACTGCCCGTAAAGGAAGAAAATGAAAGAGGCAAGTGTTAAAGAAAATTGTCAGATCTGTGATTAAATATATGAAATGCTAGCTTCGCCCAGCGCTACAGACCGAGTTTTAAAGGAGACTGCAGTTTATTAACAGCATTGTTTCTATGTTATCTTCCTCAAAGGAGGCGTTTCTGCTTCATGCAAAATGATTTGTACTCGGAAAATGCTAAAAATGATTCGCTGCATGCGGGTGGGTTGCTTTTGGCCAATGCAAAAACTTTTCCTTTTGCGACAGCGCGTATCGAAATCGAACTTAAAATCTACAAAAATCCGCCCATAATTAATATTATCTCGGGCACATTTACTACAATGTATCGAAACGTCTGCAATGAACTTTGTGTAAAGCATTAGAAGTACAAACTATGTTTTATAAAAGTTGATCAAAAAAAAAAAAAAAAAAAAAAAAAAAAAAAAAAAAAAAAAAAAAAAAATAAAAAAAAAAAATAAAACAAATTTTTTTTTTTTTTTTTTTTTTTTTTGTTTTGTTAAACGTGAAAGAATTTAACCCATAAAAAATTAACATAAACTGCAATTAAAAAAAAAAAAAGAAGAAAACAACCAAATAAAAAAGAACATTAAATTGAATCAACTAATAAAAAAAAAAAAAAAAGAAAAAAGACTACAATAAAGATAACAAAACACTAAAAAGAATACCCCAAATTTTAGCATTTGATAAATTTTTCTTAAAAGAAAACCATACCTGATAACTTCTAATAATGGCCTGCACAGCCAGATGATCGTCAATGGTTTTTGAATCGGGAGCAACGCCGGCTGGAGCCGACATGCCAGCAAAAGCAGTCATTGGTAAAGTATTTGGTTGTATAGGAGCCAAATTTGGAGGTCCGCAATAGGTGTTGCTGCGGAAGTACGCATCCCAGGACTGTAAAAACAAAAGTCAATAACATTATTTAAAATAGACCGAGATGCCTCTAGGTCAAAAAACAAGTTTCACTAGTTAGTTTTCCAAAAACCTTTTATACAGGTTCGTTCGTTTTTTTTTTTTGATATTATTAAAATTATATGACCAGAAATCTTGAAGAAAGCTATGAACAGTTTTGTCTAAGGTTTGTTGTTGATGTCGCTTTTGCTTTAAGGTAAAGAAGGGATAACTCGATCAATTTGGCTTCATCTCGGTTTTATAAAGATTACTTTAGTGTAAATTCCGCCATGTCTGTCCGTTTGTGTGATGTGTTTTTGAAACTCTCTTCATCGCAAAAATGAAGATATCGACTTCAAAATTGATGGAAACATTGAATGACTTTGCACTGCAGGTTGATATTAAAAATTGGCCAAATTGGTAAAAGCACAAAGCCGCCTTGGAGCGTATACTGAACACAGCTCAGTTTTTGTTAACAAAAATGGCTGAGCTTTCACTCATTACTCACGAAATACAAAAGATAGGAAGCTACAATTTTCGACATTTACTGCATCAAAAACTCAACTATTTATGTGCAAAAATGGTAAAATACCGGCCCCGTATGCTCACACAAAATTACAAATGATTAAAGTTTATTTTTTACGCTTTTTTAAGGTTTTATGTTTAATCAGTCATATGGTAAACAAGGCAGAACTTTGGAAATTTTTCTCCTTTTTTTAATATTAAGCACCTTAATTATAACATAAATATGGCGGACACAACGATCTGATGAATTCTTTTTTTTTTTTTTTTTTTTAACAATATCAGCGATATGTGTATAAAATAAAGAGATTTGGAGAGTAGATGACGACAAGGTAAATATGCTAGTACTAAATTAATTCTGGTGATCGTCACGATTTAGTGGACTAATTTTTTCATTACAGGGGACTTGGAGAGTAGCATGCGACAAGTGTTGTGCATTAATCCTAATACGTGGTAGACTAATTTTTTTAATGAAGTAAAAGGAATTTTCGATGATAATAAATAGAAGTATGCGACACCAAAGATTTTAATGGCGGATGGTATGCGAGATTCAGTCTCAGTCGAATATTACTTTTCTACTTCTTGTTTATTTATTATGGTCCCGTTTTTTTTTTTTTTTTTTTTTTGTTGTCTTAGTTTTATGAAAGCAACTAGTGGCATAAACTTTGAATCAATTTGTTCGCTTCGTCGTTGTCAGAAAGTCTTCGGCATTTAAAAACTAACTGCAAATTGTAGAGTAAAACACATCTTATTTAATGCTTTTTTGAAAAATTTCCTAACTTACCGTATGCACTGAGCTAGGATCGCGTAACCAAGCGTTGTACATTTCTTCGACATATGAAGCCGTAGTGCCGTTTGCAAAGGGTTCAGCGGCAGCTGAATTGTATTTGCGTAACGCAGCAGAAGCAGCAGCAACATTCTTAAGAACCTATTATTTACATAAAGAAAAAGGATGGGTGAGAATATTATGGGGCCTTTTTTTCTTAATTGAATATTTGATGAAACACTTACCCTTTGATTGCTGCCTTTCAGAAGCCATGTGGCAAAATTTTGATGGGCTATTGGCGATATCGCCAACGTGAAGGCTGTATTTGCTCTATGCATTTTGTGACTTTGAATTAGTTTTTATCCTAAAAAAATCAAGAAATTATAGAAAATAATTTAATTTATAACTTATTCAACAAAAAAAAAAAAAAAAAAAAAAACATTACTTTAATATTTATTTAGAGACTTATTATCGCTAATTATTGCATATTATATAACTAATAGCAAACAAGCAATAATTCGCAACAATTATTTAAAAGTAATATTCTATAATTTGTTTTAGCAATAAATTCATTACAATGCCGCTATAAATATTAACTCATTAAATTTTATTTAACGTCATTAGTACGGTTAGTTTACGGTTCGGTATCGTTCGTTCACAAAGAACCGGCATTCTTTTTATTAACTAATCGATCAATGACAAAATATCAGGCTGGAAATATCTGAAAATTAAATCAATGCACATATATACTACTGATGAATTAATACAATAAGTTAAAAGTTTCTTAAGTTTCATAGAGATTACAGTTCAAAAGCTGCTCTACTTAAGGCTGAGAAACTCTCAATACCCATAAAGCCATTAGCCGCCTTCCCTAGGAGATTTCACTTCAGATAGGCCAAAGAAGATCTACTCATTTCATATGTATGACGGATGTAAGGACTAATCGTGGTCGATTTTTTTTTTTCAAGAGATGGCATTAATTTCTCTGTGGTTCATTGGTCGAATTATGGCTTTGTCATATCGAGATATTATCTTTATGAGCTTTACGCACACAAATTTAAGTTATAACACAGTAAAGCCGGCAGGTATACTCGATTGTAAGTTGCTTCATTCGAAACGGGAAGCGACTGGACGAATGATGACCACATTGCTACATATAGCAAAACTCGTCTGGGATACGTTTTTCTATCATACTCGATATATACTGCAGACATAACTCCTTCAGGAAATATGAAAAGTTCAGCTTTTTAACTTTAACAATTTCCGTGTAACGAACCAAAATCAAAAAATTTTTGTTGAAAAAAATTGAGTTGCGTTCAGGTTATGCTCTACTACGCGCTACTGCTCTGCTGCACCAATTTGGCCCATTTTCAATACCACCTTGAGTGCAATGTTTTTAACAAATTTGATGTCGATCGATATCTTCTTCTTTGCGATCAGGAGGGTAACCCTAACGCACACCGCACAGACACACAGACGGACAGACATGGCTAAATCAATTGCGCATTTCACGCTGACAAAGAGTATATATATATACTTTGCTGGGTTCCCGAACCTTCCTTTTGCGTGTTACATGCATTATGGAAAAAAAAAAAAAAAAAAAAAAAACATATACCCCCCATCTTACCGTGGTGCGTATAACAACAAAAACCATAGCTATCAATGTACTACAATACTTATTTCTATATACATTTTTTACTCTTGCCTCGAAACAAACGTTTTTTCCCCCACACAAAAGACGTTTAACATTAATTCCCACGTAATGTGTCACACGATTTCTAGGTACACTGAAAATCCCCGTTTGATGTGTTATTGCGATAAACATAACGCAACTGAAGATGTCATTAATCTGATCGTGAAAATGAATAGATTTCGCATACGGAAACATTTCAAATGCAGTTGAAGGCTGCAAACTACTAAATGCTCTACAATTTCAAGGCCTAAATCCAAAAAAAAAAAAAAAAAAAAAAAAGAAAGAAAACATTATCAAACTTTTTGTGGTTTAGATGTTTGTGGATTCATCGACCGCTTCAGCAGATTATCGAGCTTTCCGTAATGGGAGAGTGTAAAGAAAAAATAATTAAGATAAAGTTATTGTTGTGGATAAAGTTGATCGGGTTGTCTGGCCTTTGCTTCAACAAATGAACGAACGAGAAGTATTGTTATTGTTCAGGTTATGACGTTGACGTTGATAATGGAATTTCCAATGCATATCACAATAATGCACCACAAACTAATCAAACTGATAGAAAGAAAATTAACGCAAAAGATTTTATTTTTATCACTAAGTTTTCTCTAATACATTGGAAGCCTTTCATTCTGTAGTCTATTAACTTAAACTTAACTGAACTGAAAGTATAACTTTACTTAAAAAAAAAAAAAAAAAAAAACAAGAATAAGAAAAGTAAAATTTACTTTAATTAAATGAATAGGAAAAAAGAAATACATTCACTCGCACATAGATAAATATCTATAAAATTATTAACGTAAGCTGTTTAAATTCAAATAAATGAAATAAATATTAAGTAATAAGACTAAGTAAGATCCGTCCATATGTCCGCATATGTGTGCATAGATATTTACTTAACCTTGTTGCGATAAGCTTGCGTACACCCAGGTAATAATAAAGATAAATATTAATATTAAAATGAGGATTACTTGCATAAAACTTTAATTACAATTTCCTCCCCTTTAGAACCACTAATTGCTGACAAAATTGATTTCATTACGTCATCTGATATTTTGAAATGTCAATACTAACATGCAATGAGTAGATAGGCCAGGGCAGAACATCAGTCTGTCGGCTTAAGAGCAAAATCGTCTCCCTCCCCCCTCCCCCTCCCCGGCGTTACGACCAAACTAGCTAGCTTCTCAACGATACATGCGTTTATCCATTACAATCTACGACTATCTGATCTTTTAACTATATTAATATAACAACATATTGCTTCCTTATATACGAAAGCGTTTGACTTTTCTTTGACTAGATGATTGAAAATATTATTTTCCGTTACGCAACAAGTGATGTAATACCGATAGAACTCTCACGACTTTAAAAAATTAAAAAAAATATATAGAAACATTTGTTGAAAACGAGATTTAATGTTTTTTGTAATGATCCCAGACATTGATGAATTTGCAATTATATATATATATATATTGAGCTCATATGATTTGAATAAAGTATAGTAATAGTTACTTAGTGGGCTAACAACGACTTTTTTTGTTGTATATGAAAGAAAGTAAAAAAAAAAAAAAAAAAAAAAAGCTAAGACTAAGATCTAGGTAACCTAAAAAATTTGTAAATATTCTTTAATCCCGTAAATACATGTGGATATCTGGACGTAACATGCTATATAAATAACAATGTTCTTACGTTCTTTAGTTTCAATTAATTCAAACACTATTCGCGTTAAATTAAAAAAAAAAAATAAAAAATAAAAAAACCTTTTGCCATTTCATCATAAATCAATAAATAAATACAAATTGACAGCATACTAAAGGCCAAGCCATACACAACTGTCTGCTTGCCTGTCTAACTTTACTACAACAATAGTTTTTTTTTTTTTTTTTTTTTATTAATATTCAATAAATTGTTTTCATTAAATTTTTCTATTAAAGTCACGGGGATTATTACAAATAAGAGGCCGTTGACTTGACGTCATTTTCTATTTATTTATTTCGTTTCGAGATTAGCGTGCGATATAAACTTACGGTGTTTATACGAAATTGAATCATCGAATTTAATTTTTATTTAAACCGATTACTGGTTTTTTTTTTTCACCTTTCTCAGATCAAACTGGTTACAATAATTATTGAGAGTTCATTTGCATTTACAGCAACTTTGTAAAAAGTTCCAACGTCTTTCACTTTTTTTTTTTTTTTGGTTTTTTTCTTTCTTTCTTTTATTCATAATTGCAATATATATATATATATATATATATATATATATATGTGTGTGTATGTATGGGTCGGTTTATTAAATTAAGAGTTAATATTGTTTTCTTTTTTCGGGTTAAAAAAAAATTTCCTAAATACAAAAATATAATCGCAACAGGTGCGAAATTTTAATTTGTCCCCAAAAAAAGCGATTTTTCTGCATACAGTTCTAGGGTCCATATTACAGATATTTCAAATGCACTCGATTGATTTGCAAGTGCAAAAAAATCGATTATTGATGAGCATGACTTTGCCGTGTCTGTCTGCAGAGGTTTTCAAAAGTTGCAAGCAAGCTTCGCCGATAAAACATAAAATGAACTTTTCTCATTCGATTCGATTGAATTGAATTTCAATCCCAACTTTAAATTAGGATTCCCTAATAAGCCTGGTAAAATATCATTCGACAAGTTAATATTTACAAATTGAAAAAAAAAAAAAAAAATTCAAGATTTTTGAAAAGCAATTTTTCAAACAATTTTTGGATTATCCTGCTAGAACAGTTCTAGAAAGCGAAAAATTTGCTAAAAATTTGTTTAGTGGTATGCAAACGGGGGGAGAGAGGCCATAAAACAAAAAAGAAAGAAAAAACAAATTAAATAAATAAAAAATAATTGTTTCATTCGCGTTTGTTTTTTAAAAGAGAGAGAATACAAGTTTTTATTAATACATTAGTTAATAATCCCCCCAGTGAGAAAGTGAGAGAAAAACATTTTTCAGTCTTTTTTGCGAAATTCGTAACAATTCATCGATATAGTCTCTATCAAGAGAGATACATTTAATTCAACCTCCAAGTCCCTCACAATGTCGTTATCTTCTTTATAGAGTAATTTGTCAAGCCCATTAAAATACATATCTGTTTTCGCAATGACGACATCAGTTGATTCAAATTTTTTGCCCAGCAGTCTGTTTAGGAGATTCTCAAGCTGACGAACAGCCCTTGGAGGCTGCGTATGGAGAATGTGTGATGGGTGCAACAACCATTCGAACTTCAATGAATGCAGTATGTGCCATTGTGTTCCATAGATTTGTGCGGCAATTCGATCATCGAGAATAATATTTATACCCATCAACGAAGGGTAAGGTGTATGTTTATTTTGTCGAAGCGTTTGTCACGCCCAGAAGCAAGTCTCAGAGAACCCATAAAGTATGCACGTGATACACATTAAAAGTCCAAAATCGTTTTAAGCACGTCCATCTGACCGTCCGTATAGTGTCTATTGGAAACATTCGCCTGGACGCAAAAATGAAGCCATCGATTTCAAATTTCGCTAAAAAATTGGAAGTTCTTGCACACAGTTTGCTATTAAAACTCGGCCAAATTAGTCAAAGGCCACGCTCGAGTCACCGCGTAACCTGAGAACACCTCTATGTTTCAAGAGCAATAAAAAATTGGCTTTCACTCATTTGCTCATAAACTATAGCAGA